ATTTGCATCACCCCATGTGATTTTTTGAGCATCCTTCAATACGGCGACTGTCACGAATATAATGTGCAACGTGTTCGCATTACAATTATATGTAATTTCTGGTGTGTGATTACTAAAACGAGTGAGTAGCTTGATTAGGCAAAGTGGTGTAAGGTAATTAATGGTCGGCTTGTTTTTTTTTAAAAGGAAGACTAGCTACTTAGCCCAGTCATTATAAAAAAATTAAATATTTTAATGATATTATGTTTCCCAGATGCATTCAAGATGCTCATAGAGTTAGACATTGCGAAGCTTTAGCATTCGCATAGTACACGTTTCCGCAGGAGTAGCCAAATAGATAGAAAATGCGATAACTAAGTCAGTGATCGCGGGTTTACATGCTGATAAAATCATTGCTTCTTAAGCGCCACTTCTAATATTGATTCTTTTATTACGCAACATAGTTTTTCACACATTTTTCAGATAGATTCCATGGGAGGCTCCAGAGGTAGTCTCCGCATTTCTGGTTTTGCTTAGCTTTCAGAAATTCATATTTTCCTTTCATAACGTAACCGGGACAATAGACATAATTTAACAATTCCGTATGTTTTTTGATCAAACTACGTGTGACACCTTATACATGTCTGACGGGATGGCCAAGTTAGTATTTATTTCTGATATTCACCCATGTTTATCTTTCATTCATAAATCATCACGGCTTCACATCGCATTTTTGATAAGTTTTTTTTTTTTTTTATTTAAAAACAAGTTGCGATTTTCCAGTGTGTAAAGAGAGCATTGCGGAATTCTTATTATTTCTTCTAGAATAGCTATTTTTATATTCTAGGCTGCATGTTTTAGCTCAAAGCTGAGAAGGTTACAAGAAATGATGTTGAAAGCGTTTGTGGTTTGTTTAATATTCGTGCCTTTGGTGTTTAAAGAGAAATCGTGTGCAAACCAAGCTCGCAATCGATGTCTTGGATTGAAACTCTGGTTGCGTCTTGCTGGTCATGAGTGTAAGATTTTCATTTTACTTTCATATATATTAATGTATGCAGGTGAGTGTGTGTATATTATTTTATAGGCGTGTATATTTTTTGTGCAACATTTTTTCACTACATTTATGCGTAATATACATATTTTTATGTATAATATCTATATCTATATATATATATATATAAATAACATTAACGGTCTACTATCTTTACTCAGGATAGCGATTAACATACATTAACGTAGATGCTCGTCTTAAATAATTTTAGTCGTTCTATTTAAACCAATACATACTTCCAAATACGGTTTGCTTGATAATCACTACCGATTTCGGTTACGTAAAGCGTCGATGTGTTGCCAGATACAGCAATGGAATGAGGATTCTTAAATTTACCCCAATGGCCAATGATGGTTTCCGATTTCGGATTAATGGTAAAGCCGCGTACAGGTAGCATTGAGGTGGGACCATTAACGGCATAAACAATATCATCATAGGCCGCCACACCAAATACTCTACCTAGGTCAGGTTCTTGAATGGTTGCCGCTGGCTGACCTTCACCTTTAGATGATTTTAGTCCAGCTCTGTGCAAAAACAATAATTAAATTAATATCAATCATTTTGATTTTCTTTATATTAAAAAAAAAAAAAAAAAAAACAAAGAAAAGGAAAACCAAGTTTTACTTTGGACAAACCACGCGCATGTTTTCACGATCAGCTATACACAGTAAATCTAAGCGCTCCAATAAAGTAATCGCATGGGGTACTTGTAGCGAAAGGAATTCTGTAAAAATGTAAAAAGAATTTTTTTTAATTCATTAAGGTGATGACTAATATTTTCCAAGTTTTATAACGTTGAGTTAAAAAAAGAAAAATTTTAAAATCTTTTAGTTTTTGTAAATCAACCGAATTTTATTTCCATATACTTGCTATACTTTACATCACTTGTAGTACAAGAGTACACTAAGTTTGTGCGGATATCTGCAATGCAAAGATGGAGTTAAGATAAACCCATTTTTTTTATTATACCGATCGGTTGAAAACCATTTTCTGAATCTATCCGGCTAGCCGTCTGTCCGTCTTATTTTCTTTGGTTCAGCATATGGGTCGCAATTTACGAGATATTTCAGCTCAAGGGCGAACCCTATCGAAAATATCTTCGACTGGATCAATTTTTCGCCCAATTAAAGTAGTATTTCTGATAACAGGGAGTTTGAAATTATGTGAGCAAGAGGAAGCATTGTAAAAATTGTGTGAGCAAGAACAAGAATTCTAAAAATTCTCTCAAGAGACTCTATTTTGAAAAGTCGAATGATTGCATTAAGTAAAATCGTGTAGGATATTTAAAGCTGCCCGGTGTCCCGCTATTGTGTTATTTCACACATTCACGAATAGAAGGAGAACAGCTTTGCAGGTAAAGGTCGAAGTTTGCTTTTAATAAATCGTTTTTGATTGATTTCACGACGTGCTTGCGTTCCTCGTCTATATACAATAGCATGGTGGAAATGCTTGTTGCAAATATTCAATTATTTAAAATTGTTTTAAAAATAGACTACGGCCGCGAAGATCTCAAATTTTTGAAAACGATGCGCAAATAATAAATTCGTGTCTACGTCGAACTCACAACACTCTCGTCCCAAAAATTCTATTCACTTTTGTTCTTGTATTTTTCACAAGACGTTATGCAATCGTGCCTTAAATAGACGCCAGTACTCTTGAAGTTGCTCTGAAGCGCGTAAGCAAGCGAAAAGCCTAAGGAGAAAAAATAAAAAAAACACTAAAGTGTCAACCTAGCCGTCGAAGAAGTGAATGAAATGGACGCGGTCCCTTGAAAAGACTGTCAAAAGCTTATTGAATATCTAAAAAATAATTTACTCCATTACTACACTAATTACCTGGAGGTTGGGGAATGATGCGTAATAAACGTCCAGCAGCATTAAATTTCAATATTCTTTGATTGCAATAGCCATCCGCCACGAAAAACTGAAAGAAGTGCAGAAAAGTATTAAGATAACTGAAAATATTTTTACATCCATCTGCTATCGGGAGCAATCGCAGAGTCGTTTAGTAGAGCTGTGGGCAGTCATAACTTTGTTAAAGCTTCTAGAAATGACTTTTATATATAGCCTACATCACTTATGGTAAAGGGTATATTGACTTGTGCGGACGTTTGCAACACCTAGAGGGTCTTCACGTAGAACCACCTGAAATTATGTAAACTGGTTCGGAATCATTGATGAAATTTGGTACACCGACGTGTTTCTTTGGCCAAAGTACGAACTTTATTGAAAATGGCTCGGATTGGATTACTTTTTCGAGCACTCCTCGAGAAAAAAATCTTTTAGATTTCGCGAAAAAAACGCTTAGTGATAGTATTTCATCATTCCAAATTTGTGAAAACTTTGGATCGAATGAAATGTTCCTATGGAAACTGAATCTATATATGTAGTAAAAAAGGCCTTCTTTTCAATATTTCTAAATGATATAAATACTACCTTTGTTGAATTTGGGACACTTAAGTCTATTTTTTGGATCCCAATCCATGTAAGCACTTTAATGAAAAATAAGGCTTTTATATGTTCAAAAGTTTGAATCTTTATACCCTATACCATTTTTGGTACAGGGTATATCCAGTTAGTGCGGTTGTTTGTAACACGCAGAAAGCCTTAGAAAAGACCCACCTTTTATTATACCAGTCGATTTGAAATCATAATCTGAATTGATTTAAGCCTGTCTGTCCATCTGCCCGTCTGATGTCTGTTCATGTGAATTAGTGTTCAATCTACAGGTCGCAATTGTTGAGATATTTTGAAGAAATTCGGTACAGTGACAGTGGTTTGACCCAAGGACGAACATTATTGAAATGGCAAAACATGTCTTTATATAGAAAGAAGATATAATTTTTGTGTTCTATAACAAAAATAAGAATTGTGTTAGACAATGTGGTCTAGGGTATTTAATGGACGGCCTTGCCCGACTATAATGTTCTTATTTATTAATATTTTATGATGAAAATTTTTCTTTACTAAATCAACCATAGGGAATTTGGATCTAATAGATCTATTTTTTGGAATGCACCACACCTAGGGACTCTGATGGAAAGCAATTCCTTCTAAGCTTCATTTGTAGTTTGCTGTGACAGCAGTAATTGGAAACTAATAAAATCGTTGACAAGTAAATTAAGTTAGCGATATTTAGGCAAAGTCCGCGTTCGAATATCCTTCAATACGAAGACTTTCATGAAAATTATGCATTCACACAAATATAACATGTAACTTTTGGGTGTGTTACTAATTAAGGGACATGCTATAGAGTTCTTCTCTAACTATTTTTTACATAGTTTTTATCAGAAAAATGTTAGGAATCAAAAATTCAATGGTTCCGAAGGAAGGGGATACATTTAATTAATCAGAACGTTCCCAAAACGAACCTTCAGAGACCCTATAATGTATGTGTTCTTGATTAGCGTCAAATTCTGAACCCATCTAAAAATGTTACTCGCTCCATCTGTTGTCTGGTCACAAAAATTAAGAAATCTGCTTGAAGATTGGCATAAACATTGAAAATTCTTGGACGCACGTTAGTATTGAAAATAGTCCAAAATCATTCAAAAAAGGTACGGCTGGAGTAAAATATGAAATGAAGGCGCTTTTGTGTGTGTTTTTATGTTTTTTTGCTTGACACTTAAAAACCACACCAGATATAACGATACAAATTCTATATTCTACGGGTGATCTTACAGCGCCTGCACAAAAACTTTGAGCCCAGTCACATCCATCTAATGTAATAGAATATCGAAATTTAGCTTGTAAAGATTTTTTTTTCTCCTTTGAGATAAATGTGAAACGTGTGTAGGTGAAAAAAATTCGGTCATAGCTGAATATAATTTTTCTACTCATTAATATTATTCTGTAAGAGGCAGGTAAAAATCATTTTAGCTCAGACCATCGATCGATGGCATCTCTTTTAGATATATTTTCGAAGAACTTTAGATAAATGCAAAGCAAAACATTATCGCTCCTTACCTCTCCGGTTGTAGCAACGGCTATGGAAGTGGGCTTACATAAATGCTTGACTGATGATCCTGGCCGAAAAGGAGTACCAATCGTTATCAGAGGTTGTGGTTCAGATGCTCTCAGCTAATGGTTACAAATCAGATCAGATAGAAAATTTTTAATTAAAAAAAATGTCACCTTAAAGGCTTGATGCATCGCAACATCAGTTATCCAATAATTTCCATGCGTGTCGATGGTTAAACCGTGCGGTAAATAGAACATGTTCTCGCCCCAGCCCGATAAAATACTGCCAGTTTTTGCATCCAAAGTGTAAATGGTTGCTTCTTTAATTGGTCCGTTTTCAATGTAGTAAAAAATATTATTGGTTTCGTTGAAGGTGCTTAAAAATAGTTCATCAATAGTACTTGAGGCAATTGAAAAGGAGAAGATGTGTTAGCTTACTTTGAGTCCCAAAATCGATCAGCCCGATGAAATATAACTGGATTTCCATACGGATCTATTGAAACTGCAGTCACTTGGCCAAAACGATGGGCAACCTTTGGCCAATTTTCTACTAATACTGGGGTCGGTATAGCGACAGGAGATTTCGCTATATTGTCCTTATCTGCGAGCGCATTATGAGGCGAATCTAGAGCATTATTAAAACTTGGCCAATCTGACTCAGCCTAAATGTATGCAATTACAATCAGTTAATGCTATCAGTAGCTTTATGAACACGTCATCCGGTCGATAAGTAAAACTCATTCAAGTATTTATTTAAATTCATATGAATTTTATTTCCCAACTGATGATATGTTATTTTTACTTACCACAATATTTTGGTTAAGTCTTTTTTGTAAGAGAGCTCTAACGTTATTAAAAAATCGTCGCTGACTTAATGGTAATTCTTCGTATGTTAAGTGATGTGTGCTTAAATGTTTCCCCAAAACATTATTCGCAGAGAAAACGACTGCCATTACGCCAAATGTCCACAAGATTTTTATCATTTTTTATATATATATTTAATACTGGGTAGGAAAAATTGATAATAAATTAAATGAATTTTTCACATATGTCTTTAACAAAACTTTTTTCAGTATATAAACTGGAAGGAAGACTCTCTTGTGTGTACATTGACAGTTAGTGAGATTTTTTTAACTGCGCCATTATTACTATCGGTATTAGCTCATTGCTTATAAAGTAGCCATTTTGCAAAGATAAGGAAAAATTTGGAGTTCAAGTGCCAATGGACAAACGATTCGCTTGGTATTCCAGCTGATGAGTAATCAATTTAGTGAACAAATAGGAGCAGACCGCGCTTGTGAGTTTTCATCTGAAAGAAGATTTATTTCCTTTGTTATTCTTTCAATGAGGTTGTTTTACAGTTGTAAACCTAACATTATTGTTAATGACATTCAGCAAAAGTTTGGGACATGCGCTGCTTTACAATGTAGACACAAAATGCAATACGTCTAAGCGCACACTTAGGTAAATATTTTTGTTAGTTTATGCAAGAGGTTATCCATCCAAAATCGTCAATTGTTAAACATTTTGTTGTGGCAATAGGTTAGTTAAACTAAGTAAGAGTGCTACAGACGAGCGAGGCCGATCTACATGATCCTAATTCCTAAATTGTTATTCTGAACAAAATTTCATCAAGAATTATTGAAAATTATACACTTTTACCATATAAGGATTCAGTTTACGTAGAAACGATTATATGGCTGGGGGTACAAAAAATTGCCCCCTCCGATCCAAAGTTTTCACCTTAAATTTAGAATGTCCAAATCCTATTACTAAGCGATTTTTGTTGCAACTCGTTGTGAGTGTTACAATATTCGGTGAGTGGTCGAAAAAGTGATCCCTTCCGAACTATTTTCAATAGTGCTAATCCTTGAACACGATAAACAAAACGGACAGATAGACAGGCAAATTTAGAATCAGACAAGTCTGAATCAAGCGTTATAATAAAAGGTGGACGTATCTGAAGTTCTTCTCGGTATTGAATACATGCGCTTAAACCTAATATGCTCTTGAGATATGCAAACAAACTTGGGTTCAGAAAATGGTTCTGAACCGATCTGTATAATAAAATCTTGGTGTGTTTCAAGTCTTTCTGGGCATTAAAACACTCCGCACTGACTCATTACACCGAACTAGTGTATAAAAAGTAATACCAAGACCTTACGAAAGATAAGCAAAAAAAAAAAAGGCTTTCATTTATTTTTAACTGGGTATTGTCTAATCGTCACTTGGACAATGTATTCAAATATCCAATATGTAAATAAAAAAAAAATTATATAAATATAATTTGAAAACTTTCTTCACTTTGTGGCGAATCGTATTTACTCGTTCACAGTTATGCCTTAACTGCAAGCAAATTAATGCCATTTGCAAACTTCACGTGATACACCGCAGATGCAATTTTATTTGTTAATAATTATTGGGAACACATTGAAATTCTTATCATTTTCATAAACGATTTAAAGGTTGTGGGGAAATTGCATATTATAAAGTTAACATTTAACCAATGGCTAAGAGCATTAACGTAAATCTCCATCTTGTCAGCTTCATCTTTTCTCAACAGAAAACGTAAACAGAAAGACGTAAGAGGACTGGAACTATGGATGCTTTTGGTCAAATCAAATCAAATCAGAATCTTAAATTGCATTCTCAATAATCACTATCCCTTATCTTATCATCCCTATTCCCTACGTATTGCTTCAAAGTATTTAATACAGTTAAAAGACTCTTTGTTGCTATAGGTGTTATAAAAGAAATAACATTTCCACTATTGCCAAAAGTTTAATATTATTAATGTATTGAATGAAAAATAAGAATACGAACTAATAATATTAGTCAACCAGGGTGTGATCAAATTTATCAAGCACCGGGCGACTGTGGCAATAAAGGCTTGAATCTTTAAAACGTAGGTCTTCCATTTCGTCGAGTAGGGCTTCTAAAGAAGCGGCACCGTCCATTTCAGTCACTGCGGTCGCTTCTAAATCGCCTTCCATACTTAATTTATCGCAGGCGAATAAATCGCGAATGCGCAAGAATTTCATTCGGCTTTCATGACCCCAGAAATCATGTAAAGCAGGTGTGTCAGAGTCTTTACTTTTACGATGCAGCCAGAAAATAAACGCTAATAAATGAGCGCATGATTCTAAATGTAGTATAAATAATTAGATTTACCGCAAACAATTATTCAATATTGAACAACGTCGGAGACGCGGACAATCATTATTATGCGTTACCGCTTTTCAAGCTTTTAGACGGAAAGTTATTTCTTAAAAAAAAGCTTCATTAAAATCATTCAACTTCTTTCCATCCATTAGGATGTGCAAAAAACGATGCGTATCTAAAGAAAAGCTACATCAACGATTCGATGAAAATGGACAAAAGCTACATCAACTTTTCGATGAAAATTAACAGAAACATCAACTTTTCAATGAAAATGAGCAGAAGCTGCAACTCTTTCGAGCAAAAAAAGCTCAGAAAAATTCTCACCGCAACATTTTTATTTTGTTTATGTTTCTATGGCACGTGTTTCGTCCGGTGTATGGAATCTTTTACTAAAAACTCAGATTGATATGTGAATGAATGCATATTTATTTATTTATTTTATTAATGAAATTTAAAATAAATATAATTTTGCAAATTTTCTTATAAAACATATCATTAAGTTGCTTTGCCAGTTTGTATATAAAAAACGATATAAGGTATGTGTTCCTAATTACAGTCTTGTTTGAAAGCCATACTCGTTATTTGGCAATTTTATGCCTTGTATATATGCATGCGTACAAACTAGTAAAGCAATTAGCATAAAATATTCAATAAATTGGATAGAATTTTTATACAGCTCCATAAGATAGGCAATGTATTAATTGAAAAGCTTTTTAGATGCATTTAAATTTATATGTGTTTGTCACATCATCTCTTTGTATTAGATTTACTTACTGTATGTATAAAAGATTTTTGCTTGGAACCACTATGAACGCACGTATACGTGCGGATGTATTATTCCGCATCCATAGAAAAATGCATCAAATTTTCAGAATATACACACAATTGAAGAGATATTGGAAAGTCTGAATTTGTACATCTCGATATCAATAAATAAAGTAAAATAAATTATGTAAATAAATCAATTATGCTTATTCTACACTTGTCAGAAAAACTACGTTACAACTCAAATTTATCACATGTTTGTAGTCCCTGGAAACATGTTTCAAAGGTTTATCAAACAGTGCGCACTTTCGATTATTTACAATAATTTAGACATATATGTGTCGTTCTCAGAACCAGATTCTTTCTGCTCGAAAGACAGAATAGTTTTAAAATCTAGTAAAATTAATTCATAGATCGGCAATCTGCCCAAATTTAAAGATTAATGATATTGTTGTTTATATCAAAGACTTTTTCTAACAGCATCTGTAACAGCCGTCACGTTAACTGTGTGGTTAAGCATTAAGACAAAAAGTTTCCAGACCAACGAAATACAAACCCATCAGCAGTATACAGAAAATTACGATTTCAAGTGGAAGCATTTTTAACGATCCGGTTTTTAAGAAACATCTCTAACAGGTAGAGTTTGTTTCAAGGCTTCAGCCTGCAAGCAAAAGAAACTAATTTGAGCCAAAAGGTAAAGTCTTTCAACACGAATATGCGCGGTTTGAATACAGTTTTGAGCCTGCGAAACACAAAATACTATGCTTTCTTCAAAAATTAAAACCATACGACCAAGTAGAAGTTTATGTCCTTAGATTATAGTTGCCCTCGCTCACAGATAACATTACTCAAGAAATGAAGCCGAACATTTACTCCGTCCGGAATAAATTCAATGCATTGAATACGTTGAACTTTTCGGAAAATATTACAATGTTTATTGCGATTTTTTTTTCAGTAACGAAGAGAATTTTTGGCTCAATAACTATGTTTATCACCAAGATTTTCGCATAAAACGCAATTATATCCATAAAAATTGAATATATTCATGCCAACATCGTCATCGTGGCGTAGTTTGTGTTTTCAACAAACCTAGCCATAATAGCCGCAAAAGACCGCTACATCTACTGCTATAAAAGAAATGAATCTTGCATTTTATTAGGCAATCACCTCATATTATTTTACGGTGTTACGATAGTAGGTCAATGACTTCACCGCTTCTTCAATATTTCATTGTCCCGTTTTGTAGAACGACTTGAGTCAAAATCCTCAAAATACACCTCCGAGTCTGCAATGATCTCATAATTTGATTCAAATCTTTTTCCCTAGAGTACGTTTTTAAGATTTGCAAACACATAATGTGCGCTGGAAGCCATATCAATCGAGTAGTTTGAGGCATAATCACAATTCAAACTTCAATCCATGCAATTTTCGCTTTAGGTTGTCGAATAGTGACACAGTGTTTTTGCCCTATTGTGGATCATGACAAAATTTTCAAATAAAACAGTGGATACATTGCTTTTTGAAATCTTTAGGATATCAGCTATCGCATGCAACTTCATGTTTTTTGGTGTGATCATCTGCTTTGGATGTCCATTGCTGTCGCTAGTATCCACTGCGTTCAGTCTTCACTGCGTTTGATATCCGATGCCTTCAGTATCCATTCCGTTCAGTTTCCAGTGCGGTTAGTACAGTCCACTGCTTTCGCTCCGTGTAGTAATATCCACTAAGTTCAATAAAGTCGGTTAAAACGCACGAGGCTGGCCACAACAATCCACGAAATTCTTTCGTTTTGCAAATAATAAAAGTAAACCACACTTGTGTACAGACTATCAAAACGTTATTTCACAAAAATTATGTCGACTATTTGTTAGAGGCGACATCTACGCATCAGTCACGGTTTTATTGATCGCCTGCGGCAGGTTTCTTCAAAGCTTGCTCGAGGCTAAAACTTTTTCGTTTATCTGTTCGTACAATTTATGTTAGATGTAATGCGTGGTTAATAAAAAGACGAGCAGAATGATCAAATTTTAGTAAAAGCATGAATTTTATAGCATTGAGCTTTCGATCCCTAAGACGCTTCTTGTTGCCTACAATAGTTGGAAGCATTGTACAGATTGGAAATTTACGAAAACTTGGCATTGCTAGAGTGCAACGTCATATCGCTAGAATTTTGCCGCTGTTGTTCACTAATATTTTCATATTTCATTGTCCATTGACATTCAATTTTATGCTTCCTAGTCCTCTGTTTGCAAAACACGCCAAATTTTTACGATTTATTATCTATAATACCGAATAATTAATTTTTAAATTTCATTTATTTTATATATATATTTACATATTTATATTAATTGGATATAATAAACCAGAAAGATTGAAAACACCATTCTAAAGCTGTCTGTAAATATATGAATGCATCTATATATGCATATATGTATATATATAGGTGGTATAAATATGGACGTCATAGAAATAAAGTGAATGATCCGTACAGATTGCAGAGAAGCCAACTGAAGCAAGCAAAAGAAATTAAAATCGTTTGACTTTATAGCATCAAAGAAAACGAAAATTAATCATCTAAACTATTAGATGTGGTCCTTAACATTAATTATCTTCTACTAATGTGGCAAGGCTCAGTAAAACGAATTTACGATGCCACGGAATGCCAATATAGTGAGATCACTTTGTTTATTATTAAGAGGGCTTGGGGAAATGGCGTCTGCGTCTTGAAGAAGTAAGAGAATTAAAATCGGCTGCGACTGAGTCCTTGATACCTGTCTGCACTTAATACTGTTCAATATTATGTAGACTTTTTATGATCTTTGGAACTTTTTTCCCGGTGCTTCAAATGCTTTGATATAAAAACTTCGATATTTTGTAATTTTTTGTAGTAGGCGTGGCTGATCTTTTCTATTTTTGCATAGTCGCTGCAGGACTAGCCGTGGTATAGAAATACCTGATTTTTATCGTTGTGTCTGCTTCAGCTTATAAGTAACGAGCAAAAAACAATATTTCTTTTCATTTTTGAAAGCAGAAGTAGTCTCAGATTGTGTTGTGCTACGGTCGTGGGCTTTGCCCGATTAGACTCAATTTCAATATGAACCTACTTGCAAGAACTCCCAAACACTGAGTTGAATTTTTTGCGCGCCAGGAGAATGTTTATAGCAGAGTTTGCGCAAATAGATGGACAGATGGACACGCTTAAATGGCTTTCGAGCTTGATACTAATAAAGAATTTATTTACCTTACGTGGTTTCTGAACCTCCCTTCTAAATATCGCGAACATTTCGACAAAACGAATGTAATCCCCCTCCTTCAGCGATGGGTATTGAGAAGAAAGAAAATTTCTGATATCAGTTTTTTTGCCTCAGTAAAATTTACGGCCTGAAAACATCTATAGAAGGAACGGTTTTAGTTAAAAGGATAACCCAAAAACCCACTGGTTAATAGGACTGAAAGTTTTATTATTATCGACATGTGTATTAATGGAGGCATAGGTTCAAATATATATATATATTTCTTTTTTAATACGGAAACTTCCCTGCTCGTTTAACACAGCGACGGTCAGAAAAGAATGGGAAAAGGAAAAGAAATAAGGGGCTGGAAACAGCAGCCTAATAGGTATGTGTCCAATGGGTAAGTGTTATGCGCCTTTACCGACTGAGCGCTCAATATAGATACGATCAAAGAAGGAAACTCTGCCGCACTTGAAATTTAGGCGCACGAACATCGCGGTTCTTACCCACTTACTCATGCTGATATACACTAAAAGTACAAATTTTTAATATTTAACTATCTCACAGCAACAACAAGCCCTTAGAGGATGGAAAGAGACAGGCGATAGTTATTCTGGTCGTTATCTTGTCGGTTAAATTTCGGCATTCATTATTGACAAGTGGTCGCGACCTTAAGTCCCGTGCGTTTAGAAATTTTACCTCTAATAAGTGCCAACGTCTCCTATATGTTCACAAAATATACCTGTGTAGTCGAACTTTATATCTGTGGCATACAATTGTGGGAAACAGCCAATAACGCGAATATTCCCAAAATTTCAATTTGATGTTCTTCGTTTCATTGTTAATGCTCTGTGGTTCGTTAACAGCAAAATCGTTCGTGATGACTACGTTATTCCACTTATTAAATAATAGTTCAACGCCTTTCTGGGTAATATCTTGTTAAACTGAACAACCAAATCCATCTGCCTAATCGTGGAGCCTCGACGAAACTTATTTTTCGTAAGGAGGCTCAACGAAACCCGTTCTTTTTTCTGAACCCTGATGATATCCGATTTTCGCATAGGATCGCGATGAAATCCGCGATCCCAGCTTCCTTTCTTAACGTCCTTTGAATAAATCTTAAGACCTTTCAAAGTGTTCTCTGCAAATCTAAAACTATACAGAAGTTGCCTTAAAATTTGATAATGAAAGGCGTTCAATTTTTAATCGATTATCGAAATTGATATTTCGCAGTTTTGGTTGGGCTTTTAAGTTGCGAAGCACCTTCGTTTTCATTGGAGACGCAGTCGTAACGTTCTCCTTTTTGCGTTACTTCTCCCTGTTTCGATCACGAATATTTTCTCACATGTTTCTTCACACGAGCATCCCGTTTGCATCCCGTAAGATCTCAACAAATGCATTGTTGACAAAATCGTCTTCAAATTCGATAAATTCAAATCAAAAAATCTTGCACTGCAACCATCATAATCTTCACGTTATTTACAAAGGAATGAAATTGACTCTACTCCCTGATTGCGACAGTAAAGTAAAGTGTGCAAAGTAAGTCGCCGTTGGTTGATTGAACGAATGGAAAGTATTATTATTATATTATTATGATTATTATTATAATTTTAGACTAATGAAATAAATTCTTAGACTAAAAAAAAAACATTGAGCACTAGCAGCACAGGCTATCGGCTCTAATTTAAATAAATGGATAATGAGCTTAGTAGTATTAATAAAGTAATATATTGAATTGATGTTCGGTTCTGAAGCTGATTTTAGAATGTGCAAAGGGTTAGCCGTTCCAAATGCAATACTTCTGGCCAAGGAAATGCTAAGGCAGTCGCAGAGAATGTGCTTTATAGTGAGAGTTTGTCCACAACTGAAAGATTGGGGAGGAAGACTTCTTCAAGATCCATTGGTGAGTTGCAATTGTATAACCAAGACGAATTCTCGAAAATATTTGGGTCTTGGTTTTCTCAACATTCGTTGGATACAAAGGTGGAGTTAATTGAGAGTTAATGGAAGAGTAGTGTTGGCGATGGTATTGTAAATTTCCTTCTGCAATTTTCTCTTTAACTTTTCTTCCAATGTACCTTTGAAGATCCAACCGAAAGGAACGTAATTGTTATGAACTCTTCAAACTTCAAGCAACAACAACGCAGCTCTCTGAGCTGTCTGCTGCCATCAATTTTTGAGATATTCTGATCAAATTTGATACACTGCCGGTTTTTAGCGCAAAAACGAATGCTATTGAAAATGGTTCAGATCAAACCATCACAGAAGTCGCTACATGAGCAGAGTAATGTGGATTATTTAGTGGTGAGACGTGTCTAACTATGGTGTGAAACTATGGTGATAAAAAACATTTCGGTATGTTTGGTGCTTTTTTATCAAAGGAAGAAGTTATAGCAGGCATGGGTGAATAATTTTGTAGATCTAAAGAAACTTTACGCCACCAAAGATGGCATAAATGAATTGGAACATTGCTGGAAAGAATGTGTTAAACGTAAGGCAATATATGCTAAAAAAAACAAAAATGTGTACGTAACTAAATAATTTATGCTTTCCATTGTGACGCTACTAGCGCTTTCGTAGGGCTTGTGCTATACATATATAAAGCACTTTATTGGATTTCTTTTACACATGTGTCTAACGGCATTGGCTGCATGATAATCATCGTAAAAGAAGACGCATCGAAAAGTAGTGGTTCAAAACAATATAATGAACGCTACGGGAAATGTATTGTTATGAAATTCGCTTTTGCTACGATACAGTCCGTATCACTAGATCGTGGATATTTTGATCAAGAGAAATGCACTTCAAAGTTCTTTTATTTTGCTACTTTATCTTTCACAACAGTAGGAATATTTGTTCACAATTTATTTTGGCCGTACTCTCAACTTCTACGTTCTTGCCAGACAAACTCTACTTTTCACAAATATTCTATTTATATACAATTTTACAAGCATCTTACTATACCTAAATTTATGGTTTTATTTCTAATCCCAGCCGGCTTTTCCGCTAATCGTTTTCATCGGCCTGCAGCTGCATGAGGCGCCTGCAAATGCTCGTTTGGTTTTTCCTTCTTTACGGAATTTATTATTACGAAAATTACTTAGCTGACATTAACTGAATTTGGAATTTTCGTAACAGTATTTTACGAAGAACTTGCATTGTTTTGCCAAAAAGATAAGAAAGCGACATAGAGAGCCCTGCCATTCGAAGTAGTATGAAGATTAATGCAGGTTCTTTTCCTATCTATATTCGCCCAGATCTATTTACTGTGGCAGTCCTCACGAGAGCTTCTCCTCCTAGAGAGTAATATGACGCTGCTTTCTATATCTAGATCTAGAGATCACTTTTCTCAGAAGGAAGAGTGCCCATAGCGTGTACAAATAAATCGACTAAGTGTAATGAGTTGGGAGTTGTAGGAAATTACTCGATAGCCAAGTAATTTTATTATGTTTAAGTTAGGTTAGTTCAAGAACCGATTCTGAAATTTTGTCAGTTTTCGTCGATATGAAATGTGTTGACTTATTCTATGTTCCCTTGAAACCGACTGTGTGTATACCTCAGGTATGTATATATGCCGTTATGCCATTATAATTATTTGAAGATATTTCCAAGTGAAACGCATGCATTTTTAAATTGTTTATTTTTCCGCTATATTTAGAAAAATGATTTGTTTTTGTTCGCTCTCGTATTCTTTTCTCAAAACATCTGAACGATGTATATATGATAAATGAGTCAAACAAAGCAGCAAGATTTTCAATATAAAACTTTTCAATACGAAAATTCACCGCATTCAAGTATAGGCAGCGTCAGAGCAAGCGTCTTCGAGTAAACGGGAAAACAAGAATTTTCAAAAAGGTACAACACACCTCCAAAAAGTTTCTGGAACACAGTGAATGTGCAAAAAACTTTGAAATATTAAAGGAATTGAAGAAAGCACAAAAAAACCAAAAAAAAAAAAAATCAAAAAAATTTAATTGAAATAATTGAAAAATATTTTCTTTAATTTTTTTGGTGAATGTTTTTTTTTTCGTTCGTATTTTGTTTATTCTCTTTTTCTCTCTTTTGTTTTTTTTTTTGTTTTTATTTGAAAAAATCCCTTCACCTTCACGTTCGTTAGTTGTGTGAGAAGTTTTATTCAGTTCGAATAATTTGTGTTCTCGTAGATGTCAGTAGTGCCACTAATGTTCCGTGACTGGTGGGATGAGCTTGATTTTCCAATGCGCACTTCGCGCCTCTTGGATCAACATTTCGGTACTGGATTAAGGCGCGATGATTTAATGTCCTCAATTTGGAGCTCGCGTCCAACGCTTTTACGCTCGGGCTATTTGCGGCCATGGCAACGTACCGGCACTGGTTTGCAAAAGCTTGACTCCGGATCTACTCTAAACGTGAATGATGAGAAATTTGAAGTGATTTTGGATGTACAGCAATTCTCGCCTAATGAAATTACCGTAAAGGTTACGGACAGATCTGTTGTAGTGGAAGCGAAACATGAAGAAAAACAAGATGAACATGGTTACGTTTCGCGGCAATTTACGAGACGCTATATGCTTCCAAGTAAGATTTTCCTAAATTAAAATACTTTGGTATTGGAGCGCATAAAAATGCTTTTAATTCGCGTTTAGATGATGTTAATCCCGACAGCGTTACTTCGTCGTTGTCATCTGACGGTCTTCTTACCGTAACAGCGCCCATGAAGAAATTGCCACCACCAGGCAGCGAACGTGTGGTGCCAATTGCCCAAACGGGACCCTCTTCCAAGGAAGATAACGAAAAGAAAGTTGAAACAACCACTGCTTGAGGGGCCGAAGGAAACGAATCACCATATTTATGCTTAAAATTCCGCTTTCTTGAAACTTGAAACGTTCTTTTTTTTTTTTTTTTTTTTTTTGTATTCATATGTAATAGATATCAACTGCTATAGACTGCTTATTATAGTTAACACTCGTTTAGTGCACATTTGTTGCATATTTATTTTGCGTAAATCTGCATTATTTGGCACATGAATGCTTCTTTTTTTTTCTATTATACAGAATAATAATTATAATTTAGTTATTCATAGATTCACACACATCTGCTTTAGACTAAAATAAAATTTGTAATATTTATTTTTATCACAAAAAAAAAAAAAACTATTTTTATCTTTTCTGAATATCGCATAGGAAGAAAAATCTTTTGCCGCTACAAAGTTTCAATTTGTTAAATGGTTCCGGCGCAGTAAGCAGCTGTTCAATTTGTCTTTAATGTAACGAGGCATTCTCATCGATCCCATACATAATTCCCTCCGAGGATATACGGGGTTGTGTATGACGTCTACTTTTGCATTTGCACGTTCGTTAAATATGTTAAGACCGATGGATTAACTGAAAGCTTGGAATTTATTTCAATATTATGAGAAAGTTCTTAGTGTGGTCTCAGTTTGGCATATAGGAATTTTAAATACATTCTAAACCTAGCAAGAACAAAAGATATAGTCCCACTTTTTCGTTTCTTGGATCTCATAAAATCCTAAAAGATTCACGAAGAGTTATAGGCTAAAACAAATGAAAAAATTTTGGAAAACTTTGCCATATTATTGGTTTATTGACATTATAAGCTGAAATCTGCCCTGGAAGTCACATTATTCAATTTGTTACCTCGTTCATAACCTTTGTAGATATTCAGATTGCCTAGAGTTAGGCACAACCTATAACGACTCTACTTTAGAATTGACGTACGCTTGAATGTCGATCTGCTTATCTAAAGTGTGTCCAAGCATTTTTGTGTTGAACCTGCAAGGCGCAATATTTTCACCAAATTCAGCTGAACTGACGCATTCTGATCCGATTAACAAACTGTATTGAAAACAGATTCGATCGACATCTTTTTACGGTTTTTGTTATGACCGCCTTTTTGGTGTGAAGGTTCGGTATGAAGTTTATTTTTCGCCTGATTTATAAAATTCATTATTAGGTCATATAGAAAGTTTTTTTCGCAAGATGATGTTAATGCATAAATATCTGATTATCTTACACGTACATCTGCTTAAAAGATGACATTTCAGCTTACATTTTTTGTGAAGATAGTCTCTAATTTTTTGGTTATGCAAAAAGTTATATTGATTAGAAAATCGGTGAAATATCTAAAAAAATGCCCTCACTATATAATGATTTTTTAGTAAAAAAAAGATGAAACATGCAGAAACATGCCGAAAAATTTGCGAAGTGAACAGTGAGAATGCTTTGAATAAACGACGGAACCAGGGTTGGTTCAATTCCATTCCTGAAATTTCAATATCAAAGATGCACCGCGCTCTGCGCTGACATTTGCAATTGATAGAGCAGGACCTGCTTACGTGCCAGCTGTAACGAAAGAAAGAGAACTACGCATTAACCTCATGAAATTTTGGAATCATTTGAAAAGAGCAAGATACAAAAAGGGAGTTTGAAGAGTCAGAGGGTCAAACTCACCTTTTCAAAACGGAACGTATTGATAATTTTAATATTTTTATTGACAAGGATAAAAAGAACTTCACTTAGCTTGAACTGGAACTAAACTGGAACTAAGCTTACCGAAATAAAATAATCATTTCCATAAACTTGGTTCTAATGCAGTATACATAGTCTACTCACAAGGCCTATTAATAAAGTATGTTCATATTACCTTTATGCTTACATAAGCGTCTTCAATAAATAGTGAACTGCGCATGCGTTAACGCGCGTGCATTAACCTACGTTGGTTAACCAATTATGGGATTAAAGTTTAACCCGTTATGGAACCAAAGGGTGTTAACTAAAATATGTACATATAAAATAATATAATGTAATAGTACAGTGCTTTCGTCAAAAAAAAGGTGCCTTTCTTGTTTTTTTCCGCATTGTTGCTTCCAAACATCTGAGTTAATTCGCGGTGTTTACACTTTTTCTCTTGGTTTACTCTTCGTGTTTAGTAATACGAAGTTTGTGTCTAATTTAAGAGATCACTTTTGAATTTCACAAACTCTATCTGTCTGCATTTCCAATGAATATTAATAAAAATAACAAACCCGCCACTTCCCATAGCTGTTCGTGTGTGTTCGCTGCTCACTACGCTGGGCAGGTCGCACAAGCTGCGCATACAAGTGTGGTCTTTCCCTCTATTTTCTCGGTAACCCAAAATTCTCTACATGTGAATCCTATCGTTTCTAGCAACAGCGACGTCTGCTTGACGGCAGTACGCTCTACAAAGGCAATATTCGTGTCAAGATTTGCGTCTTTCCCCCTCTGGGCAAAACATAAAAAGTTATCGTCTTGCAAAAGTGTTAGCATTTTTCAATTGACTCCAACTCAGCACAGAGCTATCTCGTCTTCTAAAGTGTTAGTTGCGACTGAAAACATTGAAATGTTGTTAAGTAAACCATTCTGACCAGCTGGATCCTTAATTAAGAAATTGATTCCTCGGGATTGACCCCGCAACACTAATTTGGAAATGCTTCCATCCTCAAAGAACTAAATATTTCTTCAGGTCCAGTAACTTTCATTTACCAAAATGTTAGGGGTCTAAACTCAAAAATTCGGCCGAAATGTAGATTTATTCTTGGTGTTTCCTTCCTAATTAAGTCAATTAATGGTACTATTGATTCGTCCACATTACTTCATGAGATAAGCTTTAATGTCCTCAACCGTTTAACCTGTTCAGAGTTGTTTACCGAAACCTAAACGGAGTTTATCACTTTATCTCAATATCGGACTCTTTAAAGTCTATCAAAATAACTATGCTTAGTACGCGCGATTTGCCTATGTCGTCTTTAACCAACTTGCAATCTTAACATTACACTTTGATCCGAAAATTGACTGGTCAAGCTTTCCATGTTTGTAATGGCTTAGGTGTTCACTTGCAACTTAGTTTTGTACTCGTCGTAGATGTGCCTCTGTACTAGTTATGTACATGCTTTTCTTCTTTTTTTATTTCTTATTTATTTGTACATGAAGTGTTTAATTATTTGTTTGTTTTTTTTTCCCTTATATACTTTGTATTAGCTTTTAATAATATTTAGTATAAGATTTACTTTTAAGAATCAATTGAATCCGGCTGTTGGTTTACTTTGGTTGAGTTTTACTTATAAGTAAATGAAATGAATAAATGAGTAGTGTACATAGATATGTTGTATATATAATAGGGAGTGGAACTATGGGATCACATGGGTGCACATAGAGGTGCCCAAAACCTCACCTTTTCGTAGTGCTCGCTATAAACATCTCTATTGAGAGGCGTACAGTCAATGGCAAAGAAGAGTGTAAGGCTTGCTATCTATAACCGAGGTGACTGGTTTTTCTCTTGGAAGCCTAAGAGGGCTAATTTGGAAGGGGCTCTCTTTTCGAATGAAAAGGGGGCGTTTTCTTCTCCAATTTGGTTCTTTTTAATGGAGCTCACTAAATTGATACATGGCCAGCGATATCACAGAGGGCTGGGGCACAGTTGCGTGCATGCCGTGTGATGACAACTTTCGAAGCATTATTTCCTTGAGAGAGGATAGTGATTGGATTGGCCCGCGCGGACGTATGCATAATCCAAAAGCTAGCAAGCCGGCTGCAGCTGCGTACAGTATGAGAGTACCCAAAGCTGTATAGCTTGGTGTAAGTTCTATGATTTATCAATAAACCATGAAATTAAAGGGTTTCCACGGGGGTCGGGTAGCCCCAAAGTAGGATTGCTGCTGGTAGGAATATGCACACTACCCATCTGACTGTCGGAAGAATCTCTAGTTACTTGACTGCTTGGGTACGGTCCTTCGGGGAGTATTCGCTGCGGTTACGCCAAAGCTTCGCATGGAGCTCTCTAAGAGGTCCTTAGATAAGCCTCCACACCAATTTTCTACTGCGGTACCTCAGGTCAGCAAAGCCCCCTTCAATGGGCATTGCCTTTCGCCCTGGGGGATCCACAATTGACCGAAATGATTGCCGATGGTTGTAGGCAAGACGTCTGATTGAGGATTCACGCCAGGTGTCGGCGTTAAACCTCTGTAGAGAGTCTGTATACACAGTATAATTAGTATTATATATATATATACATACATACATATATACACAGAGCATATATATGTATACATTAGTTTGGGGAAAAAGAAATCCATTATTTTTCGGTAGATGGCTGCACTGATAGATTTCTCGTTAAGTATCGATCAAACAATTTCAGATTTATGCTCGTTGGAAAGGTGACATTTCGCAGTAATAAAAATTCTTTTGCTGTGTTTTGTTTGGTGCATTCAGTTGTGAGTTACAGCGTGTTAAAAATGGAAGTGAACAAAGAGAAAATTCGATACATTTTACAGTTTTTCTTTCACAAAGGCGAAAATGCAAGCCAGGCGGCTAAAATTGTGAATGGTGTTTATGGTTCCGATACTGTAACAGCCAATTATGTGCAATTTTGGTTTCGTAGATTCCGTTCAGGAATTTTTGATGTTAAAGATGCACCTCGCACAAGTAGGCCGGTCGTCGAAAATGTCGATAAAATCGGAGAAATGATCGAAGTTGACCGGCATGTTAGCAGTCGTAACATCGCCCAGGAGCTAAAAATCGACCATAAAACAGTTTTAAACCATTTACACAAAGCTGGATTCAAAAAGAAGCTCGATGTTTGGGTGCCACACCAATTAACAGAAAAAAACATGATGGATCAAATTTCCATCTGCGAAGCCTTGGCCAAACGGAATGAGATAGACCCATTTCTTAAACGGATGGTGACTGGAGATGAGAAATGGATCACATACGATAACCCTGTGCGAAAACGATCGTGATCAAAGAGCGGTGAAGCACCTCAAACGGCCAGGAAGGTTTTGCTATGCATTTGGTGGGACTGGAAGGGGATTATTTATTATGAGTTGCTTCCATATGGCCAAACGCTAAATTCTGATCTCTACTGTCAACAACTGGACCGTTTGAAGATAGCGATTGACCAGAAACGGCCAGAATTGGCCAACAGGAGAGGTGTCGTGTTCCACAAGGACAACGCTAGGCCACACACATCTACAGTAACTCGCCAGAAACTTCGGGAGCTTGGTTGGGAAGTTTTAATGCATCCGCCGTACAGTCCGGACTTGGCACCAAGCGATTATCATCTTTTTCTTGCAATGCAAAATTTCTTTAATGATAAAAAATTGGAATCTAGGGAGGATTGTGAAAATCGACCACTAGAGTTTTTTGCAATTAGAGACCAGGACTTCTATGAGAGAGGCATTTTGAAGTTACCTTTAAAATGGCAACAAATCATACAACAAAACGGTGCATATTTGACCCAAATCGGACAATCCGAAGCATGTTAAATAAAGTCCTGAAGTTCATATAAAAATAATGGATTTCTTTTTCCCCAAACTAATATATATATATATACACAGTGTATTTAGTGCATTAGTGCATATGTAATACATTTAGTGTATTATACACTGATTTCGTTCTGACTATTACACTATTGCACACGTATGTGTTTACACATATGTCGGAAAAATTCTTCGGGCAACAGATCATATTAATAAAAAAAAATTAAAAGAAATTCAAGCCATTGTTATTTATTCATTTTTACAGAACATTGGTTTTGACTTCATTACCGCAGAATATAGACGAATACACTCCTAATTATCGTAAGACGTTGATTTGATTTAGTCGGTCAGACTGTCCTTCCTTACAACTTGACATACGTATTCTTAGATGATAGCACAATCCGATAGAGAATAGACCGCAGCTTAAAATCATTGAAGACTATAGTTTTTGTTGAGCAGGTGTTGGTAGCTGAGTCGTTCAATATTTCATTGCGAAAAAGAAATCTAATACACTTAATAAGAATCTACTAGATTAGATGCATATCAGACGCTGCATAAGGTCCAGTTGGCAGGTCCGCATGCCCCCTCGTCCAAAGTTTGCCATGGGTATTCGGGCTGTTATAGAAACTGCACGAAAAGCCCTAAAATTTATCGCAAATGCTTTCCGCTTACGCTATGAAGTTTGAGAATGGCTTCATCTGCCCATAGCACACCTTCAATCTTGAATGCATATCTCGCAGTAATTTGGAATTTAATGTTGAAGCAAACGTACAAAGGACTATAACAAAAACAAGTTTACGATTCTTAAACATTCCACTGAGATGTTGGATCCGACTCCGTAATAAACGTTTTATTTCAATAATTATTTGCACAAAACTTTATGAAGAATACTTTGAATAATTTATAAAGTCTTCAATGCTTAAATTATATTCCCTTAGATTACTGTCGATCCATTCATCGAATTCGCGTATTAAATTACTTGACAATTCATCTCTATGACTACCAACAATTCCGCGTCTAAGAAAACAAAACTGCTCGAGTTCTCGACCGGCAGCGTTTCTTAAGCTTTCAAATTCCTTTGCATGATTGCATGAGGGATTATTTTGCATTTTCTCAAAAGACAGATGATTAACTAAACGGCCGAGTTGTGCATCATTTATGCGAACGTCGAGAAAATGACAGACATCCTTGATAACTGATGCGAGATCATTCTTCATACGTTCGTAACTTGTGAAGAACACTTGCGAGTCATGACGCATTTGCCAAAAATCCAAAATATGCGGCCAGAAAGGATTAAAGTTCACATGACCATTAATGTAAGATTGAACAAAATCCTCTTTAGTGCCCTTGTAGCCAACCATGCCGCACCAGTGATGAAAATAGGAAACAGCCGCGTCTTTGGGATTTCGAAACACATAGATAATCTATTCGAAATATTTAATAGCATAGAGATAGATACGATGATGGGTACATATATAAGAGCACGAACCTTGGGTTTTTTCGTCCAAATTTCTCGAGGCAAGAACATGGCCGGCAAATGAGATTTCAATAATCGTGGCGACTGTAATCGATTCGCCTCATTGATAGTGTCGTTTGGTAAGCTCGTTACTACGCCATTAAATCTAAATATTTTTTTTTTGTTTTCTTGCATTTGTAAAACAACTTTAACTTTGGAAAAAAATATCTGATTTCACTTACTCTAGAAATGGCGAACGTATCATTATATCATTGTCTCTTGCCAACTGATAGTTGAAATTATTCAGAATAAGCCAAGTCATTTCCTGAGCCCAAGTTGTCCCACATTTTGTACTCGTTACTATGTAGACATCGTCAGGATGCACCGCAAAGTTGTACACACGATCTAGTACTGGTTTAAAGGTGTCGGCCAAAGAGCAAAAGCGCTTACGCCAATTATCGGTTATAGGTACTAAAGGTTTTTCGGTGCAGTAAAACCTTGAATATCCTCCAGTTATGGAAAGCTTTTCAATTTGATCAAATGGTATTCTCTCTGCACAAAAGCAAGAGTTTGGCATCTTTTACAAAAATGAGAAAGAAAAGAATGTAAGCAAAATATCATCACTGGAATCACTGAAATATTCGAGTTAGCATCGGCTAACAATATACGTTAAAAGGCTATATATGCACTCTCAAGTCGATATGAAAGCCATATTCAAATTGAACAATTGGAAAATGTTTTCGTTCCGGGCATGTTAGTTGACCAACCAAAACTATTTTAATTTTATTAAATTTAAGAGATTTATCAATTACATTGATAGACATCTAGCATACGCTATGTACGATACTGCATGTATCATATTATACTGTACTATGCTATGTAAGATGTACTATATATGCAATACCATATACCCGCCACCCGTACCACAGCAGTATTTGCGCTCATCGCTTTTATTAATTAGAGCAGAAATGATTGGTATTACTGTGTGCTGTGAGCCTGGGTGCTTCTTTTTCGTGTTTTGTAATGAAATGTATACAACGCAAGCACACAAACAAACGTGCGCACATAAGTATGCAAGCGTGCAAAGACAAAGTTTGCTTCTAAACTCGATCAGCTACTTGTCATATATTTTGTTATAGAAATGTTTATGAGGGGCATAAAGTCACGCGCAAGCCTCACATATATTTGTAGGCATATATAAATGATTTGTTGACGCTAATGGGGTGTGTGCTTACACCTTTCTATCTACATCTCTTTCTATCTACATTTTCTATACTAATTTTTTCGACTGCAAGCTTTCAAACGGCGCGCTGCGGGGAAACAGATAGATAAAGAGCGGTCAGACGTGAGAGCGACATGCACAAATAGGTTTATAATGTTGTAAATGTACGTGTGTGTGTGTCTTCACATCGATATTCGAAATACACATAGTTCGATGCCGACTTACTTACAACCTCAAGCTAATCACGATATAACATTTGTAAAGTAAAAAATCCTACTTAAGACCAAGAGAATAACTAACGCCGACAGTGAAAAGAATGTTCTTGGCACTTCGTGTTTAGAGGGTTTACTGGGTGTAGTGTATTGTAAGCAGCCGCTCAAACTCAATGAAGCCAATACTGAGAAACGCTACCAACAAGCGATCACTAAAGCAAAGCCGACTATAATCTTTGAGAAGGCACTGTAGGGTAATTTTTTTAGCACGACGACGGTTGCTTTAATATTGTAAAACACATCCGCGAAATTTTGGCGGATCTGAGCTAAGATATGTTACTACTTTAGTTAGATGTATCATGCATTTCTTTTTTTCTAATGAACATCTCTTTCATTCGGTCATTCGGTCGAATTCACATCCCGTCAGACGCTCGAAAAAACCTGCAAATGACGGATAATATTTTGAATGAACTCATTCCTAACGTTAAAAAGGCCCACTTCTTGTTATTCCGATCAATATAAAATAAAGTTCCGAATAGATTTGAGTTGGTTTTGTCGTTCATCCGTCTGACCATTCACTTGAAACAAAGGCTTTTTTATGCCCTCTATCACTTATTGGGTAGAGTATATTAAGTTTGTGCAGATGTACGAACAGCAATACTTAATTTAACGTAAGATAGATCCAGTTCTTGTTGTACTGATCGACTTCGAATAATCTTCTGAATCGATTTAAGTTTGTCTCTCCGTCTGACGTATATCCAACAGCTTTGCTCAAGCTATAAGTGGGTATCTGTACAATATTTTGATGAAATTTGGTGCCTTATCATGTTTTAACTCAAGACCGAACCGTATTAAAAATGGATGATATCAACTCCCATTCAGTCTATTAAACTCGATTTCAGCGAAGTTGTTACGTAAAAAAACTTGCAACTATTAATATTTGGGGGACCACAAACGGTAGAAAATTGTGGAAAATTTAGATCGAATGAAACCCTTTTTTTGATCCCCCTCAAATAAATGCTCTTAGGTACAATAAGTCTTTTCGCGATGAAAATAGGTCCAAGATAGCGAATTGGCGCACAATTTTGATTTGGTGCATTTGGAACACAAAGGGCCAATTTTTGACACCTTGCCATATGACAGCCTTTTAAAAAGTAAATCTTTAATTTTAGCATTTAAATTTATGAGGAGTAAAAAGTTTGTGACAAAAAACAGTTGACTCTAGAAAATTTGTATCACTTCGATTCAGATTTTAGGATTATTGTGAAAGGAAGGTATTCTACGCAAAGTAGACATTTAACAGACGTCATCTTTGGTATTTTATGCCGAAAATAACTAAAGGATTATATTTAGTGAAGTGGTATAGGGTACTCAGTCTTCGATGTTATTCGAATCAAATATTGTTATTTTTCTTTTCATGAAAGAGCTGATAAATATTTATTCTTACACTTAATAAGAGAGGAGATATCTAGTCGGAGTGCGCATGTCAATCGTTCGATTTATACCATTTAACGATATCTGCTGTGAGCATCACAATCTTGCGTTATTTTCTTTTATGCTTGTATATACAATAGTACTGTACATAATCATGCATATACAGCATACAGTGGAAACTTGATGAAGTTTTCATGGTAATAAGCGCGGCTCTATGCGTTTTCACGAACGACTTTTCAAAGTAAGCTATTATATGAGAAGAGTTCAAAAAAGTCGTCCGATGCTAACAATTTTCAGCAGCTTTCATGCTTAGGCCAAAACATGTCGGGGTACATAATTTCGTTCAAAATGTGTCGAAAATTGACGACTAGTACGTTGAACACAAGATAGCAAGGCGGACAGACAAGGCAAAATGATTCTGAATCGATCGGTGTAATAAAAGGTGGATTTATTTCAACTGCTGCTTCTGGATTTTGCTTACACCTGACTTAAAATATATCCTTGTACCACATGTTCTGTAGGGTATAAAAACTTTACAACTAAAAAAAAGGAAGTTCATAAAAATTAATAAAATATAGCACAGACGGATTTATAATTTAATAAAGTTTAGTAAAGCCCGTTGCAAAAGTGGTCCCGAGTAATCTTGTATTTCAAAAACACTCCCGGGGGTAATTAAACTTTCTCTTTAGTTTTACCTTAAATTTTATTTCGGTTTATTTTCGTAGTTGGATTAACTGGTTGATAATAAAAATTCTCTCTCACTTTTACAATTAACCGGTTTTTACTGCTCCGTGCACTGTGAATGCTGTTTACGGAATGAAAAGAAATTCCATTTTGAAGATAAATCCAGTGACGATTTTTGTACAAAAAGATTGATATTTTTTTTTTTTTTTTCTTTTTAATGTGAATGTGTTGTCATATTTACAAGATGGTAGTTTTTTAATTTTGTCATTCCGTTTGTAAGGGCACCTGTAAGCTAACCGGACAGTAATCAAAACACATGTTTTCTTGATTTGAGACAAAATTTAAGTTCATATACATACTTATGCATACTTGCGTTTCTCCCTTAGGGGAATTTTTAAATTTACCAACACTAGCATAGAAAGTGCAAACTAAACATTTATTTTTCATAAGAACTTTTCCAGACCTTCCCGAATTCAAATATGATATGGACCAATCTAAGGGAGGTGTGTAATTTAAATTTAAAGAGACTAAAAGGAGAGGAAGGAAACCACCACAGTATTTGTATTTCTTACTTATATTCATTAAATCTGTGTTATTTACTTAAAACACAAGTATTTCCAACAGGCCGTCCAAAACTTTTAGAGTTGATAACAACTAGTAAGAAAATTGTGTCCGGCCGTAACCCAATCTTTTATAGCTATCACCTTTCCCCTTAAAAAACAATTAAATTTTCATGCTCTGTAATACGGAGTGGGCGTGGTTGATTTTTTCTATTATATTAAAAATTCTTGTCGCGTAGGCGTGCAGGCGTTGTTGGCATGTCTTCTGAAAATTTTATAGGAGAATGTTTACCGCAAATACTACATAGTTGGACAGGAGAACAAATGGACAGACGGACATGCTTGGATGCATTCCGAATTTAAAGCCGGCCAAAAATGTTTATACCTTATGGGGTGATAAATATAATGTTTGGAAAATAAATGTTTTGAAAAAAAAAACATTGAATTATGGCACACTATAAGATTGACTCGGTGTGGCCAATTTTTTTTTCATTTTTGTAGAGGTACTACAGCGTTGCTCATGGAATATTATTCGATTTTCAAATTTTTGTAGATTTATCTGTGGTAGTTTATGAATAATGAACAAGAAACGCAACTTTTAACGTCACATTGTAGGCGTGTCCTTCGATCGATATGGGCCATTTTCAATACCAGCCTCTGTACAATAACTTCCAATGCTTCTGCCAAACCGCCAGCTACATTTTTGTGGCCAGCAGAATGTTACAACAAAGATTACGCAGATGGGCAGACAGCCAACCGGACGTACATAATTCGATTTATAATTAAATGCTGATCAAGAATATATATACTCTCAAGTTTCCCTCTGGGCGTTGCAAACGCATCATTCGTTGGTGATGGAAAGAAAACTTACAAACGAAAACACTATAGTGAGACACGGCTCACCATTAAATACCATGCACCGCTTCGCTTAATACAGTTATTGATATAAAGGCTTTTCAAAGTAAAGTGCTACATGAAGACTGGTCGAAAAAGCAATGCGATCCGAATAATTTTCAATAGTATTCGTTCCCGGACCAAACTATGTCGATATAACAAAATTCCTCAAAATCGCTCAAAAATTGCTGTCCATAGATTGAAGGCAAGAAAGCAAGACGGGCAGACAGACAAGCTTAAATCGATTTAGAAAGTGATATTGAATTGATCGGTGCAACAAAAGTTGGGTATATCTCAAGCCCTTCTAGATGTTGCACACATCCGCACAAGCTTAATATATCCTTGTGCTGCAACGTTATTGCAACAGTAATAATAAGAAAGGAAATTGCCTTTAAGGAGGATAGTCGTGACAACGACTTGAAAGAAAAATTTTCTTTCTTCTTAAAGTTTAAAGAGTATCGACCAGCCCATACCGCGGTTTTGCTTCTTCTTTTTCTGTCTCAAATTTGGATCACATTTGATTCACTTTTCGAGCACTACTCATGCAAAATATTATTTTTATCTATTTATTTATTTATTTTTTATTTACTTGCAGATGAAACTCAACTGAAATAAATTAATAGTCGAATTCAATTAGCTCTTAGAAGCAAATCTTATACTAATTAATATTAAAAACTAGTATAAAGCAAATAAGGAGAAGTAATAATAATTAAAAATAACTAAGTAACAATTGGCGTAGAGGCACACCCACAACCAGTATTTAACCAAATTGCTAGTGAACCGCTAATCCATCGCAATAATTTTCGAATCATAATGAGATGTTAATATTAAAAGTTTGTTTACATACGACGCAGGCAACTCGCGTGTATTAGGCAAAGTTATTATTATTATTAATATTATTAATTACGCCAGAGAAATAAATTCTAAGACTAAACTCTCAAAAGCACTCGCATCTAAGGCTATCGGCTTTTACTACCACTATTGACTTGCTAGTCGAGATTCCTCGCCTTCGGCTACTCAGGCGGATTTTTAAGGAAAGTTGTTTTGATAGACTTTAAAGAATCCGATATTGAAGTTAGGTGACATATATCATGTAAACAACAGGTTAAACAGCTCATTATTACATTTACGTTGATTCAGTTTGTGAAGATTAAGTACCTTGGGAACCGGTTAGGGAGAATAAAGCTTATCTCACCAAGTAATGTGGACGAACCGATAGTCTTAATTAGTTAATTAACTTAATTATGAAGGAAACTACAAAAACAAATTTAGTTTCCTCTAGTGACGGTGAGGACAACATAAGCAACCCAACACCTAAGGGCAAGCAGCAAGCATTGCTTTTGAACGGATTCAATTGAATCTATATAACACTAGTAGAAAGGAGACCACACAACAGAGACATACTCAAGCACTGGTCTAACTAAGCACATGTATAGCTTTTTTGTAATGTAAGGACGCTTCAGCTCCTCCGACCACCTATTAATGAAACCAAGCGCGGACCTAACGTTATTTAAAAAGAGCTAAACATGCAAATAAAAACGTAGTCTTTGGTCGAATTGCGATGCCAAGGAGAAGGAAGAAGAAAGTTTAACATCGTCAGCAGTACATTAAGATCTGGTTTAATTTTGTCACCAAGAGGAGACCATTAACGTACAAATTAAATAAAGCAGTTCTAAATGGCTGGCTTGAAGGACGTCACCAGACGTCATGGCAACTTCATCACAGGCGATCAACTTTTGAATCGGTTTGAAGAATTTTTGCAATCAGGTCGACAGCACGGTATCGTATCATTATTTCATCAACATAGATAGCTTCGCATAAAAACTCCAGGCAAGATTCATTGCACTTTGTAAATAGATTTGCGTTATATTTGGCTGCATATTCCAAAGTTTTTTGTATTTGATCACTTTTCCAGGATTTGACAGGATTCGTAACAATGCATTATATATAAAAATCTAGCACTTTTACCAATAAGCGGGGACATTTGCCTATACATTTAATAAACCAATCTGAGATGTGTTCGCATTCATTGTCCGCTGTACTACTATTTCCGTTTTGGCTTTTCCGTCTGAGCGGACATGTGTGAACGAAAACAGGCATATTCACAAGTTTCAAGAGAGTTTGTTTGGGTTCACCATTGTGGGCATTAATCATTTCTTCCAATATTTCAAAACATGTTTAATACACATTTGCACATATCCTTTTTCATGATTTAGATACTGTATATCTATTAATTTCCTCAGTATCGCGTTTCGAGTACCTTGATGGTCGGTCAGATGAACATGTCGAAAACTGAAGCCAAAGGCTAACAATCTGCCGATGAGTCGCCTGTAGCTGTAATCTATTTGTGGGCTTTTGTATACGTTCAATATAAGCAAACATTTGCAGGCAGTGAGTTATAATATCCTTATGAAAGGTGTGGTAACCTTTGGCACCTGGTATTGTTAGTGCCAAGAAATATACATCTACCACCAGTAAGGATATTTTAATATGAGCTTGTTTCGTAGGTGAAACCTGCAATAAACCACTTGTTCCGTAAACGAAGGCTAAGTATGGATCACGCTGCACTACTTTTATTAGCTGATCCCAGCAATCGTAGGTATTATCATAACTTTCGCAGGGATCCGTTCGGAGAGAACGAATTGTAATAACAAAAAACTGATTTGATCGTTGGCGAGAGTTTTCTGTATAAGAGGTAAATTCTTCAGCTGCACTGATGACTTCTCCGTTTCCGACTTCTCCGGCGCCATAGTTACAGCGTTTTTTGTCCGTTGCGCTTTGTAAATTTCTTCAATTTGTTCCCAAACCAAGGCATGATCAAGAAATTCATTTAACTTTTGAAATTTTGCAATCAATTCAGACATTTCTTATTTGTTTATTTCTATCTTTTTTGTTTTTATGAATTAAGTTTATTTTATAAAAAAAAATAAATTGCTTTGCATTTAGGTTACAATTTTTTTTTTGCGCAGAACAGAAGCAAAAACGAAATTAAAAAAAACGTAAATTACACGATGTTAACTAAGCGACAATATTCTCTCCAGATATTACTTAACTACTCCACCAAAAATCAAAAATCATTTTCCTCGCATCGATCTCTTTGCATAACGACAAGCCGCTCTTCTTGCAAAAATGATATCAAATAAGGGCATGCCGTTATTACGATATTACTGGTCAGAGCGACAGAACCCCTATCCTACACTTGTACGCGGACGTTACAACGTGCCAATCGAAGCAGAGATGGAGTTGAACAAATCTCGTCGAATAAGCCGGCGCTTGAGGACCACCACCAGATGTGCTCGATGCAGCGGTCGTTTCAGGAGTAAAGAGAACCAGAGTACGATCGATTCTACCGTGAACTACCTCGACTCCCATGGCCTCTAAGTGTCAGAATGCAGAGTGCTTGGAGCACACCAACAACACATGTTCATAGTCTTCGGACAGACTGCCACATAGGCAAACCCTAGTTTCAGAACGGACCCTTTCATGCAAAAATGCATTCAGAGATCTGTGGCCCATAACTAGAAAGCCGAGATGTAAGCTAAAACTAAAATCCGGGTGATTTTCTACAAACAAGACGTCACGGATAAAGTTAAAAGTAAATCTGCCGTTCTCACCATTATCCTTACGTGATTGCCATAAAGCATGGACACGTCGCTTTAATAGCGATTCGCGCTTCCTAGAATTTAATCTCTTTATATTCTGAGTTCTTAGCCCGTTAAGTAAAGGCCGGCCCATCTTTATCCTACAAGCATTACTAAATCGTAAAACCTCAAGGTCCAGAAGGGGTGTACCCAGCTTCGGTTGAGATAGTGCTCTATTTGAAGTACAAATAACACTTATCTCTAAGCGTTTTTCCCCTTGATAACACAATAGACTTTATTCCTAGGGTCATCGCGATTTCAGGGACACAATTTCTGCAGCCGTTGCTCTTTAGTCTTCATGAGCATACAGTTATACTCATTGGAGCATTGCCTCAATTCGAATCAAAGCTGCATTATACCTTCTCGCCTGCTGCAACTGCCTTTTAAGGCAACGGACTGTCTTTTTTTTCTTGAACAGAGTATGTATCCACAACTTAACCCCTCTTTGATTTGCTTTGAGGCATCTTTCGAGAAGCAAGTCGTTGACACTCCAAAACGATTCAGTTACGTGGTCTACCTGTTCACCTAAAGGTTTCCTCTAAAAGCTGTCGACATCTTGGCGATCGCTTCCAAATGATGAAAAGATTCAATAAGTTTACTGAGCGAATAAAAAAACATTGATTTTTTGAAAATTTACACTGGCGTGATAGATACTAAAGACTCGCTAGAAGACTTCAATTATTTCAAAAAAAAAAAAAATTAATTGGTATAGAAGAAAAGAAGAAACACCTATGGAATGAAAAGATTCAAAATTAACTATCAAAGATTCACCTCAGCTGGCCGAACGTAGGTTTATGTCTCTTACGGCACGTGTACTGCACACGAACACTTTTAACTAAACAACCTATTCCTTGTCATTTTTTTTAATAGCAAACATGAAAGGGGCGAATATTTTGATTTTAAATGATGGGTTGCGTAAGATGGGACTGAGTAAAACGCATATTACTTGACTTTTCATTCACATTTATATTTGTTCAAAATTTATATTGATCAATAGTATCAAATTACATAACGCACACCATTATACAACCTAAAACCGTCTATAGAATATGCGTTCAAATTTTTTGTAGATTTATCTGCTGTAGTTTAAGAGTAATGATCGCTAAATAATTTTTTTTTCCTTTTGAAAAACAGAGGTATTCTCACTTTACGTGGTAGTGTAGGCATGTTCTTCGACCGATTTCGTCCATTTTTAAAACCCACTTGCGCGCATATGCTTCCAAAGTTTTTGCTAAATTTGGAGTTGATAGCGGCATTTTTGCGGCCAAGAGAATGTTTACGCAGACGGACAGACGTACATGCTCAACTTGATTCATGATACTGATCAAGAATGTATATACTTTGTCACTCCTCCCTGCGCGTTGCAAACGTTTTGATAAAATGCATCTACCATTCATCTTCAATAACTGTAAACGTAATGTCATGGGCAGTTCGTACCGCGAATTAGAAGTGGCCCCTAGTCCTCTCACTTTAGCATTCTTACGAATCCCTGTTAGAAAATTGGCGTATCTCAATGGGAAATGCTTAAGTTTTTTAATGTGGTTCAAGAAATATTTCCTCACCATAACTGTTATCCACTGCCTATATTTCATCGCAGTTGGTGCGTATTTGTTAGACTGCGGATGCCTAAGGGCAGCACAATTGTATCCAAAACAACAAACTATTGAGCTTTGGCGTTATATGGCCCAAGGCGCGCTTATCTACAGGCACAGGTAGATGTCCTTCAGAGATCTAAAAGATTCGTCTACAAAAAAGTCCTTTAGTGGGGCCACTCGGCGTTTTCTCAGCCATCTCAACACGGCATCCTATCGGGACCAATTTCTTCGACTCTTTCACAAACTTTCTTCAATATCCTTACGTTTAAGTAAAGCGTTCTTAGGCACACAATTTCCTCTCACTCATCGATTCAGAGGAAATCAAAACTTAACCAAGATGTTAACGAATTGCTAGGAGAAGTTATTCGATTTCATAGTTTTTAATTTTAAATTTATTTGGTAAATAATTTTTCTATCGAATTAAAGGTAACACAATTAAAATAGCAGTAAGTAAGTAATAGTTAGTATAAACACTCTTAATAAATCCTTAACCTGCAAGGAATAAACAAAAGTTATTTTCTTAAATATTAATATATATTTTATAAATTAATCTTTCAAATACAGAGGATATAATTCTTTGTGATGTATGTTTATTATATTTACGCTAGTATTATGCATTTTCCTTATACGTGAAGACATCTACACATTTAACATACCATATCCGGTTTATAGACGAAATATTTTAGCATAGATTGAAAGAAGTGCACAAATAAATTTCAATAATTGATTGATTTATGCTCAAAGACTTTTCTAAGCTTATGTTTATGGAATATATTCCTTAAGGGAAAATATCAATATGAGAAAGAATTTTATCTTTAGCTCATCACATATAAAGTGTATATAATTTCATAGGAGGTTACATCCTTTCGAGATTATTCCGTCCTAGCGTTTATTAGAACTTACGTTACACAATTGCATTTATCGCAATCTTTCTTTCAATCCAAGTCATCTCAGGGACTCACTTAAATGGTACAATTTTTATACCCTACACCACTTGTGGTACACACAGAAAGGATTAAGACAGTCCCATCGTTTTATTATACCGATCGGTTCAAAAAATGAAATGAGTTTTTCTCTTCGCCTCTCCGTCTGTCCGTTTGACCTTTGGTCCGTCTGTCTAATGTCTGTCCATATAAATTTGTGTTCAAGCTCTAGGTCGCAATTTCTGCGATATTTTAATGAAATTTGGTGCACCGCCGCACTTCGGCCCAAGGACGAACGCTATTGAGAATGGTTTGAATCGGTCTATTTTTTCGACAACTCCCCAAATAAATTGAAAATTTGTGTCATGTTTCTTAATTGATAGTAGTAAATACGCATAGAAATCAGTCTGTTCACTCTATCAGTCGCCCGATTTTTTGAATATCAACGCTTATAAAGAGTTCCCGCAATACTCGGATGCGTATGCCTTTGTATAAAACTAATGTGTTACTTTTTGTATATTATTACCAAAACGTGTCAGTAACTGTATTAGGTAAAGCGATGTGGGGTATTCAATAGTCGACCTTGCCTGACTATAATATTCTTACTTGTTGCTTTTAAACAAAATAATCAAAATTTTTCCTTCCTCGAAATATATAAAATAACAACAATTGAATTTGATAAACATACGACGATCACAACGGTCAAGATTACAATAAGGTACAGTACAGTAATGTAGAGATTGAGTAGAACATACAAGATGAGACTAATCATCTTTCTAAGATCTGGGTATAAGAAATAGTATCTCATCAATGACGGTGTGCCTACATTTCTTTACGGCTTATAAGTTCCTGATAAGATTAGTGAAAGATGTTGGATATAATAAAAGGCGTATGGTCGACTTGAATTAATTTCATTTTATATATATTGTCGTCTGTAAAAGTCGATCGAATCTAACCGATTGTATTGGCTCTCATTTGTTTTGATTATTATTATTTGAACTTCTTTTCTTACTTAAAATTTGACGTGCTCTGCATATCTTTCAACCTTAATCATATTGATAGAGTGTGTCCTACACATGCACATACACATATACACATAAATATTAAATTCATACATTTGAAAATTTTAAATATATAAACATATTCTCAGGTATTCTTACATTTTAGATAAATTATTTTTTTAATGAATTTTTCATGGCAAATGCACACCATTTATTTAATTATAATTAGCTTTTTTCATTTTTCTGAGATTTTCCCTTATTTTTATTTTCCTATTTTTCTTTTTTCCTCCTTATTTGTGATTTTTTTTTTTTTTTTTACTTTATTCTATTGCAGAAGACGCTGCAAAAGTCAAGTGTTGAGTCCAGCCCAATTATGTTTGTAAGATGTCGTTTTCATATTTTCTATCTTAAAAATGTCTTCTACCTTAGTATTCTTCTAATTAACTTTCATTTGGTTTTCAAAGTTTTCCTTTTTCTCGTCTTCTTTTGTTTTCCTTAATGTCGCGCTTTGTGCTAAAAAAAACTGTCTTTGATTGTGAGTTTTGTGCATTATCAAAATTTGTACTCCCAGTTGTTTCGTATATTAAGCAAATTGACTGACAAGTGCACAACGAGTGATTAAATTTGCAACAGGTATAAACCTCTTTTACTCTTTCTCTATGGTTGTTAAAATCGAATGGCTCGCGCTAAGGTGATTTAATATAATAATTGGGGAGACATAAAAAAAACATACCTAACGTTATAAAATAAATGAATTTGTAATAAAGACTAGTTCACAGATTGTTCCATGCACACATTTGAACCGTTATTGCTATTCTATCGTTTTCAGTCAATTTTCACCAATATCTAAATTGCATTCGAATTTGATTTGCCGTTTGAATACGTGGGCAAGCCATAACAACAACTGAAATGAAATATATTTTATTTTACGCTCGTCTTTCTGATTGTAAGAGCAGCCTGCCTGCGCTTAACATCCGCAATAGTTCGCACTCCTTCCTCCTCCAAATGTTTCCACATTTCAAGATTGTTCCGCGTATACGTAATCAGTTCAGGCATATCGATGAAGTCTGCAAAATTAAATCAAAAACTTTCTAAACTAATTTTTCGCTTTCAATTGCCATTTTACATACTATCCCAAGCGAGCAACATGTCCATGACGATATATTCAATAAAGCCAATTTGACTTTTCGGTATACTGCATGTGCAGCGGTCGAACATTGGCATTACAATTGGCATGTTTTGAGTTTTCTCTTCTTCGGTTTGCTGAAAATACTCTTCGGCGATACGCTGCGCCCATTCCACGCAGAATAGATAAGGTCTCGACGGATTACTTACATCCGCCACTTTGATAAGCATGCGACGCATAAGCAGAGCGCTGTCTTCCTCTATCGCTGCTATCTGCGAAAATAAGAATTCTTTTTATTTTGTTATTCCATTTGAAAATCAAGACACCGCTAGGCAAAAGGAATGACCATTTGCCTATCATCATCTTCGTAGGCGTCGCTAAATTTGCAGTTACGAGTGCTCAAAAACATTTTGATAACCTATGTAGTGGGGAAGGATCGTAAAACATTGTAAAATCTACTCGATTTCGACCACATTTTTGAGAACTGGGAAACGAAATAGCTCGCTATACAATTCACGATTGTACACACATGGGACATAACAAGGTCTAATCTAACTTAAATAGATTGGGAATATTTTCTGGAGTGAACTGAATTAATCAGGGGCTGGTTTATAGCTGAGGATATCAAGTAAATTCGACCTTAACTTGATAGATTCGATAGCAATTTTACGATCGAAAGATTTTTCGTTCGGGAGGAAGAAAAAGTCTTATTTTATCGATACTTGCAAATTTACACTTGTCGACAGTCGTCGAGAGTACTCGCTATCGACAGCAGTAAGCCTATCCTGTTTTTGTATTTACGGAAGAGTATACTATAAAATTTGTGTAAAGCTTGTAATTCAGGGAGAGGTCGATTAGAAAGCATTTAAGACAGAGATTTCCAAAGCACATCCACTGCGCTTGTCCGAAAAGAAATTCTTCCTGCATAACCTCACTTTTAATATTTTTGATTAACAACAACGATAGAAGAAACTTCTTTTAGCAGGAAGTAAGCACACGTGGAACGTAAGAAAACGTAAGGCAAAACAGAAGGCAAATTTGTGGTCGCTTTTTTTCAGATGTCGCTTCGTCGTTTATGATTCACAAGTTTGCAAGGCTTAAATAACTAAACATGTTTAGCGCATTCTCTGACTTTAGTTTGCTGGTTTCTTCTGCTGCCTGCGAGGGTGAGTATTGAAAATTAAAATAATATAAAAACTGTTGTTCGTTCAGTTTCAAAAGCCGCATTATTTTGAGCATGCCTTTTAGCTGTCCGCTTGTTAAAATCGCTGTCACGCCGCCGCCAAGCTCTCTCTAGAAGACTACACTCCGATCAAAGTTTCTTTTTGTCGTTCTTGCCAGATTAAATTATATAATTGTCTTTTGCATTCGCCAATTAAAAAATCATATTTAAATAAGACAGCATATGCTTTCTAGTTCGTGCAATTGTTTGCAGATACAGTTCAGTCCATCGAACTTATTTCTTCTAATTATTTTTTTACACTTCGTAGCAAACATGAGAAGAAAGTCCAAGCCAAGATGTTTTTGATAATTTTTGAGCTGTTAATTTATAACCGTTTAGTATGTGGGTTGAAGAAGAGCACATGGTCTATTTATGGCATATCTAAGCATATTCCGAAAATCTTTATCCTGTAGAGTGGATACTTAAAGGCATAGTCCGGGCAACGTTCTTCCTGTAGTAAGATAGTTGTAAAATATCGAAAACATGGCCTTCGCACTACGAAAACCATGCCCTAGGAATGGGTTGCTATTGTTCCCATCATGCTACGAGCAAAGATTTTTCATCAGAATGGTATGCTCTTCAATCTGTGTCGGTACTTGATGGGCACAAATCGACCGAAAGAATATTTACTCAACTTATAACACGTTGGCCATTTCGAGTTACAATAGTTTCATTGACAACACTTTTGCTATTTTGAAAACAGTGGAAATATCCAAATTTCGTCTGTCAATCAAATTTCGCATTGTACTGAGAAATATTGTCATCTTTCAAAGTTAGAGTAGAATTGAAAAATGTTGTGGTAACTCTTCTTCTTCACAACACTCTGGTCCAAGTTGAAAGCAAGTTTTGTCTGGATAAAGATGAAGCAAAACACAATGAACACAAAAGAACAGAAAATATAAAGAGAATTCCAAAAAAATTATTTTTGATAACCGGAAACTTGCAAGAGATAGCTGATGTCATAAGGAAGGCACAAAACAACACAAAATTCTGGGTATAAGAAAGCTGCTCTTCGAAAGAGTATCTCGAAGGGTATATATATTACGGTGCCACCGGTCGATTGTTACAAAGATAAAATTGCATGACTTGACACATGTGTGCCGGTCTACCGATCTGGCGTCCAATATTAATCCAGGCAAGACAGTTTTGGATTAAATTATGAGCCCATTACTGAAACTGAATAGTATATTGATTGAATGTCGGGCTAATCGTTCTACACATGTTAAGTAAAGAAGCTTTGGCTTGATTCCGCCACTTCTTGTGATAGGCTATATTGATGAATAAAGCGGAATTTTGTAAAAAAAAAAAAAAGCATTTTTTTCCTTAATCCCTGTGTTTTACTCTGAGAAAGATATACATTTTATTTTACTTACTTCTTTATTACAGTTCATTTCTCCTCCAAAAACGCTTACAAACTTTGCCAAATGCTCAAAGTGCCGGGTCATTTCTGTTGCTAGTATCATATCAATGATTATGTTGCGCATTGATTTATATATGTCCGGCTCTAGATTTTTAAAAATATTCACACTGTCGTCACCTGCACAAAGATTCACAAAAATGACATTAAATTTCTCCTTCTACCAGAATAATTACAAATTTTTATTACATAAAGTTAATTTGAAAAAGTACGCCGCATGATGGTTTTCTAATACAGTAACGTCATTATATAATATAGCCAAAGGATTGTTTGAATTGCATAGATAAGCGGAAGATCGTCCCGGATGATCAATATCATGGACAACGGCGGCAATTAGGGCTGAAGATTCCTCCAAGCAATCCATGCTCATTTCTTTTTTAGAGAAATGAGATAGAAAGACCCCGATCGCCTATAATGATAATTATAATTGCATCTGATTACGGAGGTAAAATCACGACATCACTATCTATTTATGTACCTGTAAGACATCGGCCGCATGTGTACTATTGTGATAAGCATTTTGAGCATGATATCTGCTTTCCACAGCGAGAAACCAATTTTTGAAAACTGTCTGATCCATACGCATTGAGGTGAAAACTTTGAATTTATCGAAGATTTCCATCCCTAGGTACAGCAGGGGTCGTTTCTCAGTGATCTTTTCAAAGCGAAAAATGTCAAACTCCCAAGATAGCGACTCCTTTAGTGAATCCATTATAAGGGGTGCTGCCTAATCGTTAGTAATAGATAGAATTAGCAAAAAAAAAAAAAAAAAGAAAATCGAAATTGTTATCTGCACGTACCTTCATTGTGGATATCAGGGAAGCTGTGGGGCGGGTTACTGCTGTTCGTATGGTAGAATCATTTGAGCTGCGACGTGATGAATGGACGTTAGAACCCTGAACTTAAAAAATTACAAGCGGTAAAGATACACAACAATCTAATAATTGCTTTAATGTAATGTATATACCGTGATCAGAGCCCCAATGAGTTCGGTGGCAATTGGATCCTCCATTTGAATATCTTTCATCTGAGGACTATACAATGATTCGTATTTCAAAAAGTCAAGAACTCTATCAATTAAATGAGCCTCATCCGTTGAACAGTTCTCATGCAGTTGCGAGAGCAAATTTATTATCTATCAGGAGAACACATTTTAATGTCAAGCCCACATTATGATTTACATTTTTACAGCCAGAGAGTTGTGAAACAATCAGTAAAACGTATCAAAAATTATATGCAAAGAAAAATGAAGTAAAATATAATAATTATTTAGAGAATAAGAAGAATATAAGTGTATGTAGCGAAGCAAAATTTGAAATGAATTGCAAACAATAGGATTATGGAACATATTCGTTTCAACAAAATTATTTTTAAACATCTAAAAAGAATGATTAACGATGATTCGAATGAATTAGTTCCGTATTTCATTTTCGGGGCAACGTAAACTGTACTTGAGACTTGTACAATGAGCAGATTGAAAGCTCATAACTTCGCATGATTTTTCATTTCAGTGCTGATTGGCTTTCTTCATCTGAAGTCGGTAAAGAATTCGATTGCTCAGATGGGAAATTCTATCTCCGTTCATTATTTATTCCAATTTATACATAAGTAATTGACTAATTAGCGCCTTAGTTTGTTGAGAGACATTAAGTAATTGATTAGATCCCTAAAATTGTTCTTTGGCTAAAAAGCATACACCTTCATCGAGAATTGGGGCAAATTATGAATATAGACAATCGATATTTCAAACGATATATACGTGTGTACTGTTGCGGGGACTAAGCGAAAAATATGAAGAAAAACTCAAAGCCCAAATATGTAGGCAAATTTAACTTGGGCTATAGTGGGGCACGGTCGACCATTGAATACGCTATATCATTCTACTGTTATCCATATATCGACTTTTCAAAATAACGCGTTCTATGGATATCGGTCCGGTCCAAACTATTTTCAATAGTATTCGTCCTTCGGTCCAAACACGACAGTGTACTAAATTGCATCAAGATATATCAAAAATTATGGTATGTAAGTTCAACACAAGAAAACAGGACATAGAGACGGATAGGCAAGTCTTAAACAGAAAGGGGAATGCTTGATAATTCTAGCGAAAGAGGTAACTTATTCTACTTCAGTCCTGCTAACGCTGGATGTAGAGTTCATCAATACCAATATTCAGTCAAACTGAAAAATAAGCCTATGACGCCTTTTCGCTTATTCAGGTCGTCCGCCCATTAACGCCCATTAATTACTTGCATTAGTTGTTAGTGCTCGTTTCCCTCAGTTATGACTTCGTTGAATTTGAACAGCTCACCAGACAGCATTCCAACTAGTCCCCCTGAATATGCTTGCAAAGGATATTCGGTCTTACTGTCCGTCGTTGACGGTTCACCTGGTCTGTCCACTTTTGTGCACAAGTTGCCATAATTCAGCAGGGCTCGATTTATTCACAGACTGATATCTTTCAGAGAAGTTTAAAGATAGTACTTGTATACGAAGAAGCTACACTTTTACAAATGCTCGTAGAGTAATAAGATCAATCGTGTAGTTCTCGACATATTTTCCATGTACCTTTTCTTCATGTAGTGCAGAGAACGCAACGCGTTATTTCATTACATAAATTTGAAACATGTTCGATTTTGATTCGAATGTCACAGAATTGTAGAAATTACTTCTATCGTAATCCGTTTCTCAGATGAATAAGAAAATTTTTAAAAATTTTGATGTTCAATTAAAGTTAAATCTAAGTAAGTTTCACATTACAGTTGAAATGTATGACTTATTCTGTGCGATGATATTTACATCATGCTTGTAAACTTACTTTTGTAATAGGAGCTTCCAGAGGCATTGCTGCCAATTTCGCCGCACTGGCACGGCGGCTTTCTGTTGGTATACCTTTTAAGTCACTGGAACGTCGCGCAGCGGCAAAAGAACCTCTAAAATCTCTCGTATGTGATGAAGCAATTGACGAGTCCCCTTGACTTATAACGGGCACGTCAACATTAAATATAAGGTGTGTTGTGATTCTAATTGATTAGCGAAGAAAAATGAAACATGGATGGAATGAATGGTACATAAAATAGTTATTTCTTTCTTTCTTATTATATCTGAATATCACATTATTATTATTATTCAATAATTTTTTCTTTTTGTTTTTCGTTTACGATGGTTAGAACTATGAAATTGTTACGAAATGTTCGGTCTTTCAATGGAAACGTTTTTCGGGCTTGAAAGACGGGACTTACGAACCCCAGGCCATGGTGTTCGTTTGATGGCGTTTGTTATTCGATATTTTAGTATTTATTTCTTAAATGTTTTAAACTCTGTTTAAAGCGTCTCATATGATTATTGGCCTTCGGGGGTGTGCTAATTGTCCAAACGCAGCGACTCCGGCTGCGTACAGTAAAATAACACCCAAAGCTGTGTAGAGCCACGTAAGCTCAAAAAACGATAAACCATGAAATTGTGGGTTTCCACGATGATTTGATTGCCCCTAAGTAGGGTTCCTCCTGATATGAGAGTCCACTTCCCATCAGACTACCGGGATAAATGCCTTCTTGGCTGACTGCTGGATACGGGGCCTTTTCGGGGAGTACAGTGGTGGCTGTGGTTACCCCAATGTTTCGAGGGGCCATTAAACAATGAGACGGTAAATAGTCCTCGGCGATTATCAAATGTGTGGGGCGCTCTGACATTAGGCCTTTCACTGTAGGCACGCACATTAAACACTGCGGAAATATGTATTGCTTTAGCAATGTACACGAGGAAATATGGGGCAAATAGAAATGCTTAAATCTATTGATATCGCGATTAAAGACGAAGATAAATGTTACTACTATTACTCTTGGGCTACAACGTTTTTTGTCAGAACAGCGTAGAAACTTCGAATTCTAACATTGGAGATAAGCTAGACTCAGGACAACATTATATGAATAAAGGAATATCTTTGCAACAAGCGATAAAATTTTGGTTTTTACAGAACGAGTGAAGCGTGTAGTTGTTGATTTAATGGGTAAACCTGTATACGAGGCTATGTACAAAAAGAACGGGTTATCCACATCCAGAGTTGCCGGAGCCTAATTAGGGTTAATATAAAAGTCATTAACCAAGAAAGAAGTTGTCTTCGCGGTAGGCCAAATCTACTAAATATCCACCACCAGTTTATGTCATGTCATCTTCCCCATCATCCTTACAATTTCTATAGATGATTTTATATTTATAAATGATAGGAAAAGCTATAGATTCTGAAAAGAGGTCCATGAGCACTAACCTATAGCGCGACTTTCATGTTAAGTCCTGCGAAAGTAGTAAATAAAAGTTTGTAACCAGACAAATTGTTGTTAAAGGGTCCCGCATTCAAATAGATGGCCGCTTAAGCAGGAAAACGAAACCTCCGCAACATCCACCAAATTCGACGTCTTCTGATCACCATCTGTAATCTGTGGGCGAAAGGGTGAAAGGCTTACGGCAGAGGCGCAGAGTTGTACTCTCCAATATTCTTAGTCACACCGTAACAATCGGGGTACCCAGTGATGAAACCTTGAGATGTAATATTGAAGCAAACCTCGTAGAAGTGTGATCTCGTTGCCTAATTTTGTATTTTAAACGGAAAGCAGAAAAGCAGTTGAAAAAGAGCTTAATGTGAAAGCTGAACTGAATTTCGTAAACACTTCCAATTACGTAAATATTTGATTGATAATGCAACATATTGTAGTCTATATTTAGATTAACGTTAATAGATGTAAACTATGATAATTGTAAAGCATTTTAATATTATTTAATAATAACATCTCATACTTACCTTCCATAGCAAGCGAGCTGTCTAGCACGTACCGGAAATGATGTGCTCTCTAAAGTTTTTCCTTTTATTAAAACAGTGCCTGCGAAATCTAAAGGCTTGTCGCCCGTCAAATCTTTGGGTTTTAGTGCATTGATCCACTGTGTGAGGTCCGAAACAAAATATTCGGATAAATGTTTCTTTGTTGGTTCTTTCTAAAAAATTAAATGAAAATTATTTAAAAACCTTATACTAACCGTGTCGTATGGTACTAGCCTCCTGTCATTTCCCCAGAGATCTTCATTTTTTATATTCTACATTATTGGTGCTACAAAGGGCTACTAAGTTTGTACGGATGTACGCATCCCAAAGAATTAAGATCTACTTTTACGATTTAAAAAATGATTCTAAGATGTCTAGGCATGTCTGTTCGTCTCTCTATTTTGTTATCTTGTGTTCAATCCACATACAGGTCATAATTTTTAAGACATTTCGATGAAATTCGGTACCCTGACGTGTCTTGGCCCAAGCACAAATGCCCTTGAAAATGGTTTGACTCAGATCACTTTATCGAGCACTTCTCATATAATGCCTTACGCTGAACAGTGTTTCTGCTTGACCTTTGATATACTTCTGCGAAAATTATCGAATAAATTTCGTAATTTGGAAATACATATCAAAAATCGCTTAAGATATTTGAGAAGTTAGTCAACGTGCGAGTTGGATCATCGTCAGCGCTCACAGAACGTTGAAATTTTGATAAACACATTCTATAAAAATGAATTGAGTTTCTCACTTTCGAAAAGAAGTGATGCGTGCACCATCATCGAAACTGAAAAAGTGTTCATCAATAATCTAATAGGAAAAAAAAGTTGGTCTAAAATATGGTAATGAAAAGCCTTCTAACCGGCGTGTAGATGGTTGCGAAAGTAAACAGAAAACTCTTCCGAGAGAGATGTATTCAAGATTCGTGACTCTTTCGTTTTTTAATTTTTGGAAAAGTTCAGGATAATGTTTATTGCACATTGACAATAACTAAGGGGGAATTTTTTCTTCATGGGATGAAAAGTTAAAGACTAAAACTCTTTTTTCAAGGCTTATTCAATTTCTCCTATATTCTTGATGTGTTTATAGCCAGATCACGATACTTGTTCTAACTTATAGTCTTAATTGGTTAAGGAATAATCCTGGAAAATTTTGATTTTCTATCTTTATTTTTGCGACTGTAGCAATTCGACAAAAAAGTGTGACCAAAATGATCCGTTTTCGTAGCAATAAGTATATACAAGACGCTGGTAGATCTCGTGTTAAAAAAATTCATACATTTTTAACTTACCTGAAGCACACCAAGTAAATGTGCAGCTGCTTGATTGACATATTGAATGACAAATTTATTGTCTGTTATAATCAACACGTCTTTAATGCGGTTTAATGCCGTATAGAGGACCTAATAACGGGAAAAACGATGTTGAGCTTCAAAAGATTATAAAAAGTAGCAAGAAATTGAGAATAAAAAAAAAAAAAACAACATGATACCTTAAACTAAACATATGCAGGACTTGATCAACTAATCTAATCTTTTACTATGTCAATCGATTCAGAAATATTTATTGAATATCTCCACGGGATGTATTTTCCCGTTCGACTTTGGTACGCTGATATGTTTTAGCCCAGCGGATTGAATCAGGTCGCTTCTTCAACCACTCATCGTAAAGATTGTTTTATTGAAAAATCATGTTAAGAAAATATGTAATTCTCAGATAATATTTCTCAACAATAATCAGTAAAAATCAATTTTGTTTTAATATACGAAATAAAAGCGGAAATGTGGAATGGAATTGGATCGTTTTTCATCTTCTGCCATACACATGCTTCTACAAAAATAACCCTTTTTATGGCAACGAAGTTCGATTTTTGTTAATGATGAGCGACATAACCTATATTTTTCTGAGGCTTTCCCATGCCAGTCTTTTCAAGAAAGTAAAACTTTATATGGCAATAAGTCTAATTTTTCGTATTTTACAATGAAGTTACTTGAAAAATAAATTCTTTGGCAAAAAGGATTTTTAAGAAGTTTGCTAAATTTGGTCTAGAACGCTGCATTGTTCGGTCCATTTCCCCTATATTTTCTTTTAATATCGTGAATCAGTCAGAAGATCTCCCCTATTCGCGTAACACGGTCACTGTCAGGAAGGGGCATGAAACAGGGATGAGAAAGAAATGGGAGGGTGGCCGCAGTCTACTGGATGAGTGTCCTATCGATAAGTGTTAACACCTTTATCGACTGATCACTCACTATAGCTACGACCAAAGAAATCTCTACCGCACTTGAGGTTTGAGCGTTCTCATAAAAGGTAAGTCTTGCTCGACTTAACGTTCTTACTTGTTCGGCCAAAATTTTCTATTACACTTACCTCCTGAGTCGATATGATACTGTAATGTTTAACTGTAGTGCTAATGATTTGCTTCAGTTCCATATTTAAGTACGGCAAATGATAACATTCAACAATACACTAAAATGTAAAGAAAAAAATTGAATAGTGTTGAAGAAGAAATTTCTTAGAATTTGTTTAGCCTTCATTTACTTACTGTATTAACGCCAGCATCTAAAAATGCAGTCATCGTAGCGTCACTCTCAAAGAAACTGCACAAAACGAAAAGTAATTTATTGTCTATTAGCAAATGGCGGATTTCATTGCAAATTTAAAAAAAAAAAAAATGCATTCAATCATCCAAGTCTTAAATAGCTATCAAAGAAATGAATAAACTTTTAGTATACTTTTTGAATATAAAATGCGTAATGAACGTAGGATAATAGTAAGGTCTTACTTATGCAGGCATCAGGTCAAATCGATTGAACCGACTATGGCGACAACGTGACTGAACTTTTGAATTTTGCATCAGATCGATACATAAGAGAATGGGGCTCGAATTGTATAACTTGCTGGAAATAGCTCGCGGACCGAATCTGCTTTTGGTAAGAATGCCCATCTATAAATCGGGGCTGTTTGCAGTCTTTGCTTAACGCCAAAATGATTATGTCAACTTTTTTATTGCACAGTCCAGAAATCGACGGTTTCGCTTTTTTCCTTAAGATTTCGATTCGATCTTAGCCAAATATAATTTTCTTACTTGTATATCCATTACATAAAATATTTTCCAGGCTTTAAAGACCCCACTTCGTATATATATACTTGATCATGTCCGTCGGTCCGTGTGTGCGTCTGCCCGTCTGATCATCTAATCAATGTCTTTCGGAAACATTCGTCTGGACGCAAATATGCGACTATCAGTTTTAAATTTACCAAAAGTTGGAAATTGGATGTTCATGCGTGCAGTTTGATATTGCAAAAGGATCCGAATCCAGTGCAGTGTAAAGTGCGAAGAAACCCCTGCTTTCTGGATGTTTGGCTCATTGCTTTTAAGCTGTGATAGGCACCAGGCAAAAATTCCCGCTTATATTATGCAAATTTGAAAATAATCAGTCACACGCCCATATAATACTATAGAGTAAGAAAATCTAGTTTTTTCGTTTTTTTAGGTCTATTTTATGATAAGGACGGTGGGTCTTAAAGAATCGCTCATAGTCGAACATAATTTTCTTACTTTCTTTGTTTTGAATCAGTAGCGTGCGTCTACGGGGCACTTCGCGGTTTCGTTTGCTCGAAGATTGATTGTCAGTTTTATAGAGTTCTCGTAAACTTGTTGCGATATATATCGGCAAACAATTGAGACATATCAAGCTCTAATAGCACACGTTTAACAACATATGCAATTAATTGAACGTGTCGTTATCATTTTTACAGTTGCCACTAAAGTCTTAATGAAACACTTCTACCGACGATCACACTTTGGCTGCAGAATATTTATGAATGCAATTAAAGGAATCTTATGAGAAATGAAAATGGTGGTGGTGTCAGCTTTATCTCTTAGACAAATTATAGGCGAAGGCTTAATCTGAATTTTTCCTTTGTTCTACTTTTAGATTTACTCTGCGCTACTTGCCACACAGTGACAATTTTTTTTTTTCGGATAACATACAGCAATACTGCCTATCTAAACACATGAGAAGCACTCGATGACTACTTTCGTATTCTTTTCTTTGTTTACAGTGTATCAAGAAATGTTGTAATTATTCGTTCTTGATACACTGAGCCATTCCTCACTCCGCGCTTCTTTTTAAAAATAAATTTGGTCCTATTGGAGCGATGAACTTGAATGCAGCAGAAGTTTTTCCGACGTCACCATCTTTTTATCAAAAATATTTTTGACAATTAATTGTTTGCATTATCTCACCTTCTTTTGACTAAAGCCACTATTGTTGCGCAATTGTAACCTTCCGTTAAACGTATAGCTCTGAAAATGTAAAAATGTAGTCTTAAATAAGCAGAAGTAAATTAAATCCTGTTTAAGTAAAATTTGTGCAGACTTGCCGCCATCAAGGAAACTTAATTATTCTATAAAATTTTCAGGCAAATAAAAATAGGAAAATAATGAAAAAAGCCTTAAGACCTTAAGACGCTTTCTTAATGAATAGAAAGCAGACCTCATTTCCACAATAACTTAATCGTTTGGTCGACGGATGCGGAAGAAATTAAATACAGATATATTTCTAATAAGCTTTTACATTCATGGTAGATGTGTTCAAAATTTAATTTATATTTATATAATATATGCTCGCTACAGTGTTTTGTTTTTTAGATGTGTTCAAGCACTAAGGGTATGTACGCCATGTGTGTGAGACGATGATGATCAAAAAGAAGTCGCGAAATCGAAAAAGTATCTCTCTAGTTAGAGAATGACCATGGCAATGGGTGTGCGTCCAATTGCCAAGTAATTGTTCACTACAGCTACGGTTTAGACCCGGGAGCACCGACGTCGTAGTCGCGATTCGATTATGCGGTAGACCTTGAGGTGCGTATAATTGTGTCATTTTTACTCGTAATACTTAGAAATACTTACGGACAATGTACTTAACGTGCAAGTTCTTCAGCGAAGGATTCGACGTATTTTCTTGTCGTGTATAATTTAGAAGAGTGAACATTTCAAAGCAAGATAAAACGTTAAAACTTGGCTCAACTTAAGTTTGAAATGTGCTTTAATGCATTTTTCAACGCAAAGCTGACAAAAGAAACAAATTCGAAAATAGTTTGAAATATCAAAAATGTCTTCCCCGATTATTAATATGGAGAATACCATACGCCAAGTGCTGCAAGATTTAAATGTAGATCGGGAATTAGTTTTCTTGGTCTTAAATTTCATATCATTTGACGTTTTGATTGCATGGCTTTGACGCGCTTAGTCTCAAATTGTGGGCAGTAAAATTTCCCAATGAGTGTGCGCCGAAAAAAAATGATAAATCGGTGAACAATTCTTTATTTGTTTAAACGATATGCCGTTCAAGGCAGCTGCGCTCTTGAGGATCACTTATTTCGAATGATTCAGATTAATCTACGCGAATAGCTTCTTAGTTCTCTTGGATCACGATACACTATTAAATCCACTAGACCAATCTATAATTATTTGTATATCGACTTTCCAAAATAGGTCATTATAAGGGAAGTAGTCGAAAAAGCGACCCGATCACCATATTCAATGGCGTTGATTCTTGAGCCAAAACATGTCGGTCCACCAAATCTCATTGAAATATCTCACAATTTGTGGGTTGTAGATTGAACACAAGAAACCAAGACTGTCCTTCACGCTTAAATCAAAATAGAAAGTGATTCTGAATCGATTAATATGATAAAAGATGGGCCTATCTCAAGTTCTTCTTAGATGTTGCATACATCCGCCCACACCTAATATAGGCTTATACATGAAGTAATGTAGATTGTAAAAATCTAGCAGTAGAATCAATTTTTTAAAACAGAAAGCGATGTAAGATATAAGATCCATCTTAAGTAGAATATAATTTTTCGCTTCTTCATACTCACACTGATACTTACTTTGCAATTTCTGCAGCGTCTAAAAAATTCGGATAACGTCCATCAATCACTATTAAGTGGTATATATCCGGTCCAGTAGTTAACTTTTCTGTGGTGGCCTCCAGTGTTCGAGCAATTGAAATGTCAACTTCTCGTCTATTGCAAGCTTGTTGCACCAAATGAAAAATTTTATCTTCCTTAGAGAAGACTAGCAAACCCTGATAAAGAGAAAAACGAGAATATACTAAGATTATTTACACTTAGTGAATTTAGCAATTGCTTTCAGTGTAAAGTGTTTACAGACGCCAAATTTACCTTAAGTGCTAGCTTTGGTGCCACAACAGTTGGTAAAAGATACACTGCTTCCTGCAATTAAAACCAAAGAAAATTCGATTAATGCCGGAACGAAAATGAACAGCCCTCTGCACAACAGCTGGCCGCGGCCTTTTAGGCGCGTGCCTGGTGAACGTTATGCTTTCACCGACTGCACACTAACTTCAACTACGACCCAGTTTATGCTCTACCGAATCTACGCTGTATTTGGATCCGTGAGCGCTGACTGGGTAGTCGCGATTCCTATCTACTCATCTAGTGAAAGAATACGGTTTTGGATGAGATGGCGAAAAACGAAAAATTGTTTATTGGAATATTTGTGGCGGCCAGAAAATGTCAGTTCTAAAGGATTTTAGCGAGTTTCCCCAAAAAATAAGTTACTATAAAAATGCAATTACAGAGGTATTTTCTTAGCAGCAATGTGCTCGGCTTCACATTCCAATGTTCGCTAACAAGTGAAATAGAATAAGCATACTTTTGCCCCGTTTGCGCCAGTCTAAGCAGCGCTACTGCTCTTATGGCTTTATCAGAAAACGGGCGCTTGCGTAAATCGCCTTGGAAGACATGCGGTCGTTTCACCGTGGCGTCCATCTTTCGAAATAGTGTTTTTTCTTTTTATAGAAAACTATTTGGCAAATTTAATTTTTCACTTTATTTACAACAACAAACGCGATTTGATTGTTATCTGTCATTAATATTATATATAGAGACAAATTGACTTGTCCTAAACCAATAAGGTTATATTTGCCTTAAGTTGGCTTCAACCAATTAAAATGATCAAATATTTTGTTAAATGTGGTTCTGCGAGTTATGGTATTTTCCCTCGGTCCTTTTTGCTGGGCCTAAGATATTACTTGCGTTATAGTGAACATTTACATCAATGTCTGTTACAATTGGTTTTTTGCGGGATGAGTTGTGAGCGAACTTGTTGGAAAATGCTTAAACTCGATCTATGACCGAAGTTTGACTTGCATGGCACGTTTGATCTGTCTATGTTTCCTTTTATGGCCGTTAGCATTTAAACAATTGACAGAAAATGGGTAGTCTACCAAAAGAACAGACAGACACAGGATTTGCCTAGCCATTCAAATTCCTGAAGATTCCTACCCTTATAATATAATAATATTCCCTGCGATAACATGAGCAGTAGTTCGTAACTCGAACTCTTAATCTCATTCAAGGAAGGGAGACGTAGGATTATCATCACGATCAGTGACCCTCTCCCGAACTGATGTAGTTGTTAAATAGTGTGTTCAAGAGAAGAGAAGACACATAGACAGACAACTAAACGTTCGATAAGCATGCACGCAGCTAGATAGACATGCAGACAGACTGGCAAGCAGACATACTGAGGAAAAAATGAAGGCGATGAGTTCCATTTGAAAAACATAAGCCAATGAAGAAAATGCTATGTTTATGGGATCCTATAATGTGGATATCTACAGAAATCTTGTCCACGTTCACTCTCGGTTGGGCATGCGAAAGAGTGAACAGAGTCAAGGATAGTCGGGAACAATTTGAAATCGAAAATATAAACGCAAATTTTTGATAATGATATTTTTATTCAAGCATTTAATATTTCTTTATAGCGTGTATAAAATTCTGGCCTGTATTTGGCTTAGTTTTGGTCATCATTGTGTGAAACACTTAAAATACCTCATATTACATTGGCACACTTTTTTCGTGTTATCGATGGCACTTGCAAAAATTTGGAACAGCTCGCATTTCTTCATATGTAGGCAATGAGTTAAAAAATTTAGATTGAGACAAAACAAATCAACGAAAATGACGACTAATGAGACCTACTCTTACTATTTACGTAACTAAATACCAGAGGCAATTTATCATAGAGTTTTAGTATCTTAGCAAAGGTCAAGTTATAATGTTGAAAGAAATTCTATAAACATAAGAGATGAAAGTTCAAGTAAACAATTTTTCGGTCCAATGCCTCGAGTATTGTTTTAATTTTTGTATCGATTCCAGCTTAAGTTGAATACGATGATCTGCTTGATACATCTATCCCCGAGAGATGAGGGATATATCCGTTTTGCCAAAATGTTTGCAACACTATCATCAACCCCGCATCCGAAACCCCACAAAGTATATATACTCTTGGTCAGCATTCAATTCTAAGCCGATTTAAATACGCTCATCTGTCCGTCTGTGTAATGTCTGTTGTAAATATTTTTCTAGTTGGAAGTCGCTGTACGCACATTAGTACTGACAATGGGCCAAGAGAAAATGTCCGAAAGACACGCCTACAGAATCACGTAAAATGGGAACACCTTTGTCTTTCAAAAGAAATAAAAAAGAATTGGGTTTCTACTCATTACTTATAAACTTCAGCAGATAAATGTACAAAAATTTGAACGTAGTACCAGTTCAAAAATGGAAAAAAATTGACCACGCCTACCCAATATTATAGTGTATCAAAATTTAGTTTTCCTTCCAATAATTTTATATCTGCAGGAACATGCTTCAAAACCCACATCAAGTAAATAATAAATTCTTGGCTAGTTTCAAATTTGGAAAGCACGTAGACATGTCTGTCCGTTCGTCTGTCCATTTGTCTATTTACGCGACTGTATAGTATTTCTAGCAAACGTTCTTCCGTTAGCGAAAATGAAGATATCGCCTACAAATTTGCAAGAGAATTTGGAAGTGAGCCAAACTTTTCCAAGGACGCGGCTACAACGCTCACAACGCTGCCTATCCGACAGAAACTTTTATTTTGAAAAAAGAAAGAGTCGATCGCACTCACTCCGTATTGTAGAGTATCAAAATTTAATTCTTTTAATTTTTTTTTTTTTTTTTTGTTCTTTTTAGGATAACGGTGGTAGGTATAATATAATAATAATAATATAGCAGATTCGATCGTAATGGAATAATTGGTTCTAGATCAAGCGCTATCTTCGAGCTCCCCTTATCTTTTTTTTTTGTCGTTGAATAAAGTGAGGTTTATCAGTCAAGGACGTAGAACTGGGATGCTCTTTAGAAGCTTAACGTGGGCTCCCGCCGTCAAGACTCATGCCCACGGTCCCAAATGACACACAAAAGGAATCACTCCTCACACATGGGGCGATTAGTCCGGGTTTGTACCGCACGTTATGTATATGACATGTTCAATGAAAGGAATTCGAAAATGGCAGAAATATTTGCTTATATGGATCGAAATTGTTTGCACAAATCTTACCGTCGTTATTTTGCTAAGACAAGGATCTTGATCTTCGGCTTTTTTTATAATTAATTTTAATTTTGGCTGTCGAGGTTGACGGCGCTCATACAGACTGCGTTTGCGATGCGACACGGGTTTTCCCCGTAGTACAACATCGTCACAATTATTTTTTTGCAAATCCATATTAAGTTGCTCTACTTGATTATTTTCCTGTTTTTCACTAGCGGAACTTAAATTTGATTTAATACTTATGTGGCAAGGAAACCGCGTAAATTTTTGTTTATGTTCATAACGACGTAACAATTCCAATTTGTCCTCTAAGCTGATATTATTAATGCGCAAAGCATGGGCGTCTAAGTTGCGTATGGCATCGATAATATCCGGTTGTAGGCTGCGCGCGTAACCATAGTGTCTGAGAGGATTGCTTCTTGGCAACGGTGTTACCAAATCTGTCCCTTCAGCAGCTATTCTCGCCTCGTCATCAATGTCTTCTGCAGTTACGTTACTGGAAGCTTTCATACCGTTTTCAAAGTCCTTCGCGCATATATTAGTAACTTTTGCGGAATTAATGGTTCGCAAATGAGTTTCGAGTTCTTCTAAAATCACATTTGTCTCTTGAGGTTCAATGCTTTTCTGTAATAATAAGTTTTCACTCACATCTATTTCGTTATCATTTTCTTTGCCAACTAATGCTCGATTGTGGTCAAAGTTAGATTCTATTCTAATATTTTTTGATCGGATTTTTTTATGCTGACTTTTAGTACGAAAACAATGTTGCTTATCTTTTTCATTGAGCAGACTTGGTGTCGTTTGTATTGAAGTTTGAATAGCATATAATTTGTTATCAACCTTCTCGTTGCTTATCTTGCGATGTGACATTGTGTTTGTTGTTTTATCATTTTCGTTATTATCGCCATGTGCCAGCTTATCAGATGTACTCGTTGAGCCATCGGGCCCATTGACAATTGTTAATTGTGATCGTGTCACCTTTAATTTGCCCTCTTTTGTATCACCTTCGCAATGATCCAGTTGTAAACATTCCTCATACAAATTTTCATGTATAAGTTGGTTCTGTAGGGGCGATTTGCGAAAGATGTTCGCGATCTTTGTAAAACAATTGCGCATCGTTTTTACACTTAAATCGAAAGTTTCGGTCGCGATTACCGCACAATTACGTATTGACTTGTTGGCGCAAGATATATGCCAGGTTTAATTTTGCGTAAATGATCAATTAATTATTTGAATTGAACATAATTGTTTAAATTTATTTAAATTAAACTTAATATTCCGGCACTGTTGCATGCATGACTGTATACTTTTTTACAAATATAGTAATGCAATATAAGTGCATTCTTTTAAAGTTCTTTAATAATTTTGAATATTACACCCCTACGAAAGTATGTTTAATTTCTAAACAATTTGATTTAATTTGTGTTTTTTTGTTTTTTTTTTTATCACTTAATTTTTTGATTTTTTTTTTTTTTGATTTTTACACTAGATAATCTATGCATATATTTAAATTGATTGCGTTCTCCTTCTATTGCCAATAGTTTTCGTGACGACGATAATAGCCTTAATATTAAATGAGGGAGAGCTTTATTTCGTATTTTATTATATTAAACGATATTTTGTTTTCTGTTTCCCTTTTCACCGTTTCGATAACGATAAGGCAAATTATCTTTTTTCATACCTTTAACATACATAGGCAAGAATATACAGTCAGTGACAAAACGGAGGCAACATCTTTAAGGGCGAAAAAATTATAACGTTACATATGTATTCTCTTTTGGTCGGTGTTTTAGTACCTCTTTCAAAAAAGATGAATGCTTGCATGCAATTAATGTTGCGTTACTTAAACAAAAATATAAAAACAATTACTTAGTTTCGGCGTTTCTCTTATCTCACATATGAGATCGTTCCAAGCTTGTCCGTCCGTCCCCCCGGCTGATGTCCGCGTGTGTATTGTGGTACAAGGGTATATTAAATTCGTGTGGATGTATGCTACACCGAGAAGGAGTTCAGATACATCCAGCTTTTATTATACCGATCGATTCAAAGTCGCTTTCTGAATCGATTTGAGGTTGTCTGTCCGTCTGTCATGATCGGGAAATTTGTCTATACCGGCATGTGCCGGAGTTAGAATCACCTTCAGAACCATTTCCTGAATTGATCTAAGCTTGTACGCTAAGCCTGTCTGTTGGCCCGTCCACCTGTTCGTCTTGTGTTCAACCTACAGATCGCAATTTCCAGATATTTTAGTGAAGGTTGGTACATCAACATATTTTGGTGCAAAGACGAACGCTATTAAACATGTTTAGGATTGGATGACTTTCTCAAATAAAGCCTCAATTTAATCTATCGTTTCATAAACGTAGTGGGCCGTGGTACGGTGCTTTTACTTGTTTCGACTGATTCTTCGATGAGTCATGGGCTACATATTTTATTCCGATTTAGATCAATAGCTTTTTTGATTTTACCTTTTCATCTCAGTTTTTCCAATTCAAAAAGCACTTCACAGTCAAACGGCGAGAAGGACAGACAGACTGGACATGGTCAAATCGTCTGGCATTTAGCTGATTTTTGAATTTAACTTAAAAAGAGCATTAAAAAATAATAAGCACAAGTTTGTTTTTGTGGATAAAATTAGAGGGACGACAGCGTAGCTGCCACAGACAAATTTAAAAAATTTAAAAATTAATTTTTAAGATAACGTAGACACTAAATTATTGTTCTTTTATATAGGTGTGAATCTTAATGGATTAAGCTGGTTTTCAAAATCGGCCAAAAGGAGCGACAAGCAAAAATTTCATTGCAAGTTTGTTTTTGTAGACAAACTTAAAGCATTGTAACTACAGTTGCAATTGAAATGGTAGCGAGCACCTAGACGAACAGGAAGACCCGTTTCCGCGACCCGTCCTCTATGCATATTACTATGATTTCTATTCATTTGGCAAATCTAATAGACCCCTTGGTCTATTCAAAATGTTAATGAGATGTCGTGCTCGTTATCGATATTAGAAGACTGCTGACAGTATCGCCAAATAAGAGCGAGATGTTATGGTGTTTTATTGTGGCTGCGTAAGTTTAGGAAAATTACAACACAAATTAAGTAAATATCAATAACGTTGGCAGAAATTTTGTCATTAACTGTTCAAACTTTCATAGGTTAAAGAAAAAAAAAAAAAAAAAAAAAAAAACAATAAATCCCAGACTCTCGTCGCGCGCGCTCTCGCTTGCTATAAGAAATAAGAAACAGAAAGAAATTATTCTTTTAAGGAAATGAAAGCACTTCGTTAAATTATTTGTAATTTTTTTTTAAGCGTCAACAAAGGGGTAGCAGTGTAGTTTTGACTTCATTTAATATTTTACGTTTTAATTTCTTGAGATTGTTCTTTCATGAATTCTTAAATCACTTTGCATACGTTTCTATGGAATCATCCTTAAAAGCAATTCTTCATCGAGCTTTTTTAAATGCATATTCTAAATTCTCGATATGATCTCGTTCACTATTGTTGTTGTACTCTTTATTGCATGCACGTTTGCGACTATGTCTTTCTCGACATGCGGAAGAAGGTGACTGATATCATAAATGGAGCTTTCTATTAAGAAAGCTTTGTTTTCGTTGCGGACTGTATCCGTTGATGAGGCTGAAGGATGATGGTAACCAAGTCTCCCAATCTGTTTCGAAAATATTCTGGCCAGGTGGCTGTTGGTAATTAACGATTGCGACCTCTTGTTAATTTCAACGAAACCCAATGGAATCTCAATTTAATGTGAATTTTTTTAATTAAAAAGAAAAGAGCAAATCGTTTGAGAAAAAATGGCATCCTGACGTATCAAAACTTTCGACCTGCTATTAGAAGTGCTTGTGCTATATCCGACTTGAAGGAACTTCTTTAAACCGCTTTCCCTCTCAATCGCAATATTTTCTCGTACGTGTTTGTCATCTCCGCTCCATGAACTTTTCAATTAGCGTGGCACTTTTAACTTGTTCGCTTTTTAATCAGAATATCTGGCATGAACATATTTCTCCCTCTCTCTCTCTCTCTCTCTCTCTCTCTCTATCTCTCTCTTTCTCTCTATCTATCTATCATTATAGCACTTACTTGAGTGGAAAGTAATTTAAGCTAATGGAGGGCTCTCGACATTTAGTTTAAAGCAGACTGCCGTTCATTTCCTTAGTGTTATAAGACATTTCTCATTTTTTAAGGTTTCACGGTGGCGGTTAGGAAAAAATGCGAGGAGAAAAAAGGATAGGGGATGGACTGCGTTTTCTGATGTGATTACGGTTTGATTGGTTACTAGTTATTCTGAAGATTTCCAATGCAGTTTGAAAAAGATATCAAAAGGCCCTAAACAAGGAATAACTACGGTTAAAAAGGTTTTGCGTTCTATTGGTGATGCCAACGCGTTCAAGCCAATACACGAAAATGTTGAAATATGGGCGTACCAGGCGATCGATCAGTACATTTTTTTAAACTCATTTTTCAGACAGCCCTTAATATAATTTTTATTGAGTTTTAATTATCTATGTATTGCAGATTGTAAGTAAGTCTTTGTATTATATATCGAAGATACGTCTGAAGACGCATCGTCATTTTTCTCGTGTGAAGGTTATTTTTTTGTAATTTTTAAAACCTTGTGCGTATGTAGGAAACTACAATTCTCTTCTTATTCATTATGATCTGAGTTTCTGGTAACCATCTTCGAGTTTCATCGAAGACTTTATTAATAGGTTAGCGGATAAGTTCTGCCTTATTGCATTACCTACTGGGAATTTTACTTCTCAGATAAAGACAAACATGCAGAATGCATTATGTGAGCTCTTGTTATTACGCGTGGGATGTAAGTGGACTACTTTTCATATCCTATATCGGTTAGTTGCGAAAAGCAGAGTGAATAAAGTGCGCTTAATTTTATGTGCATTTGGATGCTACATGAGTCTCAGAAACGACCCAACGCGTCAATAGTAAGAACTTATATGACACGTTGGGAAATGAAGTTGTAAATATTCGGATCAGATGATTTGCCAAATTTAATACAGAGAATTTCAGCGCCCACGAAGATAGTGGCCTTAAGAAATAATGCTATGGCCCATGTGGGAAAGTAACCGACATATACCACTGTTGTACTGTTGATGAACGCATCAAATATCTTCAAACTCAAATGTTTTATTTTTTATGCGGTAGAACTTGGCCCCGAATCCAATATATATACGTTGTATAATTTTCGTGATATGGCTAATATTCAATTTTAGTAATTGCGGGTTGTCAACACAAAGCAAATACTTACCGGTAGCTCCTCTGGCACCTCTTCCTCTTCGTATGGTAATGAGATTCTTATGCCTGAAATTATAAAGAGAACAGAAACAGATAAATATTAAATTATAAATAGGGGACTTGAAGAAATGTGTACGAGAAATTTCATTCTTTCACAAATTTACAGCCTGCCATACGTTCGTAAAGAGAGTAATTTCAATATTTTCCTGCACTTCGGACATTTTAATTAAAGTCAGCCTAAGATCAAGATCTCAACGCGATTGTTACGTGGCCCGATTTTAAAAATAAATAATCATTAACCATTAGAACTTTTGTCGGTTTCATTTTCATTTTAACCGCTTCCCGAATGGATCGCATCCACTTTCAAATTTTATATCAGGAGCGTATGTAAGTAAAGAGAGATATGTGAGTAGTTTCAGCTTTCAATTAACCAAAGGAAAGAACAGAGGCGCTCTACATCTGATATTGCGGAAGTTAAAATAAACCGCCATGCTTTTGCGTTTTGAACCAGAAGTTATCGTCCAATCATTCACATCATTCGGGTTTTTGGAGATATTTTCCTTTCAAGTATGTAAGCCATTTATAAAATGGTGTGTCGATGGGCTGGGCCGTTTTCAGTCGTCTTCACCTGTCCATTGTTCCAATTTTTTAAACATTCGCTTCGATAAAAGTTGGTGCGAATTCGGCCCTGTTTTATACGGTCTTCCTTCCCATACCTACTATGTTTAGTTCAAACACAGAAGAATAATAAATATTTTTATTCTACCTTTTTTAAATCAAAATATAGTCAACGTATGTTGGCATGTAAAAGATTCACTAATTATGCCGCCCACACACTTTGAGATGACCTTCTGAATTATAAAAATCACAGTAAAAGAACCAAAAGTCTACGATCAATCTTCTCGATGACAATCCCAACACCTTTTCCAAAATAGTTGCGACTCTAATCAACCCAAAAAAAGTCTTATAGAATAGGATTTCAACGACTCGAAAACAGAGAGATCTCACGTATTGCACAAATTGAATCTCATAGATATTGAAGGTCGGTTTATCACATACCAAAAGCTGCTCTAAAGAGGAAGAGAAAAAAGATTTTGCGACAAATTGTAACTGATTGGTTAACTGCATTATTCTAATGCCAGATTAGAACAGCGTGTAGTTTCTTAGAAATTTTGCAAATGGAACGAAGCAAGCACTAAAGTTGTTACGCAACATGCCGAAACGTGTGATAAATTGATCTTTTGGCATTTTAATGCCTCGAAAAAAAAATTTCGTTGCGGAATTCATATACTGACGATAACGAAGAAAAAACATAGAAACTAGTGACGAACAATACTTTGGATAAAGCATAATGCCATGTAAAAATACCCCATGTATATATATATATATATATATATATATATGTGTATACAATATACTATGCACTAAAGGCATACACACGTATATACTTAATAGTCTCGTAAATAGGCTATCTTGCTAGGCGACAACACTTTCTTTATCGTAACTCTTTGGTGTTCTGTTATCTTAAAGTTAACAGTTCAACGTACAGTTCAACTTAGGTCCCTTTTGACGTCCAATTAAATGCGACATCTCCCTTATTATAAGCGAAAAATTTCGGGCGCGATTAATAATAAAAAAACCTATTAAGCTTTAATCTAGGTCAAGCGAAGCGTAATGTTAAGACGAAATTTCAGGTAAAGGCGGCAACTGCAAGTTGGAAATTTATATTGAATTTATTTAGGAAAGCGTGGAAAGTAAATTGTACCCACTGTATGCGTGAGTTGCTAAGCTGATCGCCACTTTTGAATTTTCAGGTTTAATATTTCTTTACCTAATTGTTTTTCTAGAAAGGCTTTTGAGTAACCGAAATCTACTTCGACATCATCGTATCCTTCATAGTGTACGTCAAGCCTTTGCGCTAAAATTTCAACATTCGGCCTGGTTTCACTTTGCAATCGGATTGACGGCGTTGACGGCCGTGTTAGCACATCGGGGTGCAATTGTGATTGCGATTGAGTCGCACCTTGTCCATTTGATGGCCCCACCGGTCGTGGAGCTGCAAAAAGATTTTGCGTAATTAATCCAAAGAATTTAAGTAAAACACGATAAAGGAATTCGTTGGCGACTATTACCCCTTCCTAGAAATAACTTTCTGCGTTCTGTAGAGTAATTCGGCATTTACGAATCTTCCAAGCCTTTGACCTTTTTTTGAATTTGCATTTACCAAGTTGTGGTCTAACAACCATTTCTTAATCCGTTTTCGTAAAATTTTCATACAATTTTTTTTTAGTTTAACATATTGTGCGGGGTATCGGATAATTTGATGCTTTTTTTCGAACGTTTTTTGTTTTGTGAATGCCTAAAGAGTTCGTTGTTTACAGAATTTAGAATTTGATATTTTATGTGAAAATTTTAATGTGTAAAATATAAAAAAAAAAAAAACAATTATTTTTCATTCACTGACATATCTACTTTTGAATTCTTTTCTATTCTCTACGGACTTTCGTAATGAAATCCTATACAACGGCTTGGTAGTATTCATAGTTGCATTCACAATATATTATGGACTGTATATTTCCAACCTCCGCACCCATCGTCATAATGTATGTATAAATATGAGAATGATCGGTGATGTCCCGAATTTCTCAACTGTGTTGTGCGTGCGTCGCAAAAACCTTCAACCCGACCGATTATAAAATCACGTTTTCAAATGCAACGATTTCGTTGGGTACGATCGTAAGCAACGCACAGGCATTAAATCGTCTAGTTTTAGAAGTCCAGTAACAACCCGAAATACTGCGAAACGCGTGGTAACTTTAGCTGGATAAGATCAGGCATTCAATGGGTTAACCTACACTATGCAAAGATTCGAAAATTGCCTCAGTTGTAAAGTTTTGCTGCTTTACGACAAGGTTTCGCATCGCCAGTCTTGTCCAGGTGTGCTGGTCTCTAAGAGGTGGGATAAATCTGAGAATCAATCGATTTGTTCCTGCTTTAACGCTAACAATTTGTGTGTCCGTGTCGGGCAAATAAGCATTCACACACAATGCCTTGAATTGCCGATCGCGGCCAGATTAATATCAATTTTGTTCAACATCAGCTCACGAAATTCCAACGACGATAAGTCCAATGATTCAAAAAAAAAAGAAGAGAAATAAGCCATGACTTGTATTACGGTGCGTTAACAATAAAATTTATTTTGTGAGCTTTTATGACCCGCGTGGTTTTTTCTATGGATTCTTATATTGATATTCTAATCGCGCGGATTATATGAAAATCTAAGCAACCTATTTATCTTTATAGTTTAACGTCGTGCTCTATTTGGTCATGCCGTCTGGGATTGGAACACTAACCTATCCGACTCCTTGCATTCGCGTCTTTCAATTTACGTTCTGACCTGTATGGCTGCTGAATCCAAGAAAAGGAGCAAATGCCCTTGATATTTTCTCGAAACCTATCTCTGATAAGATCAGAATTGCGAATTGGTTTGTAGGTCAGCGCATTTCCGCCCGATTGCCATGATCTACCTTGGCAGCAATCACGTACGAAAAAGGTAGCTTTTGCTTTTGTTTTGAGCTGTTTTCTAGGTTTCCGATCGTCTTACAAATAATGTTTCAATTCACAAAGAGGTAACCCTAAACTTGCGATACGAATAGGCTAACTCAATCTACGCAATAATAATACGGGAATACGTAAAATAACAACTTAAGCAAAGTGTGAGAACAAAACGAATTTGAGAGTTTGATCCTCACAACCGTTCCCAGTTATTTTCAGGGCAAAATAAAAAATTTTACCTGTAAAAACTATTGAATAAGAAGTAGAATTTTATATTAATATAAAATAAATATTTAGAAGAGTCAACGAATGACTTACGCAGGCTCAGCTAATGCGCGCCAAAGATCTTTCGCCTAATGTCAGTCAAAAGATCTAATAATTAGCAGTCCGATTAGAAAATTTAGTGGAAAAGGAAAGTTTTAATAAGAGATCAAGCTATACTGCTAGTCGTCGTTAGATGCGACATTCTCTTAGACTGCAACGACTATAGAAATTTGAATCGCCATTTCAATAAAAATACAGTTGAGGATAGAAGACAAATTAAAACGTTGTTGCCGATCGATCTCTACTATTAAGCACCGTAAAGCCGTTCGCGTAGTACAATTCCACGCTTATTTTGCTGGTAAAAACTTTAAAATTGGGACTCTCTCATGTCCTTATGTTTATCGTATACATCTATACTTAGCTTAGTACAGCTTTACTATAAGTGATGCAAGGTGTAAAAACATTTGCTTGAATTGATAGGTCGACAAGCAATAGATCGAAAGACAAAGAGACGGATAAAAAAATTACAAATCCTACGGATTATTTTAAAAGGCCCTCGTTTATCTAATTATGCAAAAAATGTTACTTACCCGGGATTTCAACGGCACCTTCTAGCGCCAACATGTTATCCAATTATTTCCAATCAGACTAATTTTTTAGAAATCACTTCCTTAGACGTAAACGTAACAGGACTTCATTTCAATCATGCACTTGAAATCATGCACTATCTTCTTTCGGAAACTTATATATCACAAGTGATGTTGTATAATGCAATAGTATGTAAGTGGCAAGGGTGCTTCAATGTTTTTATACCTGATATATGCATGTATACGTGTCAAGGCAAAATGTAACTTAAGTAGCTTAACAAATATTCAGCACATGCGACTGACTATGTTTCAAATCTGTATTGAAGGAGTTACGTTCCTAATTTCTTCCACCTCCTAACTTCCTCTATCTAAGCCGTTTTGTATGTTTGTCTGCGTATCGCAACACTCAAAATGACTTAAGATAAGATCATGTTTCTTGGATCAATCGTTCCAGAATAGCTTTTTGATTCGATTTAAACCAGCCGATCCGCCTGCCTGTATGCCTGTCTGTCCGTCTGATATCTGCTCGTGGATTTAAACCACAGGCCCCAATTTCCAAGATTCGCACACTATTTTTGATGCACTGACATCCTTTCATCATCAAAGGGCGAACCAATCTTACGACCAGTCTATATAATATAACGTCGCATTTTAGAAAAG